GTCGTTGATGGTGGTTGTAAGGTCACCAGTGCCGGGCGGCACAATAACGAGTCCGTAATTGGATGGACAGTTTATTTCCAATCACAGATAGTATAGCAATATTTAGAAGGAGAAATTACGGAGTACAGAAGGTACAGATAAAGCGGTAGCAAGTTCAAACACAATAATACAAAATAGACGAAAGCAATAAATCGTAACGAAGCAAAAGAGTACGCGTAAGTCAAGGAGTGACACAGTCTTAGGGTGGCGTTGATCAAACCCGACTGGCCGCGAGCGGCGGCCGAGTCGTGGCGCAGGCGACGACCAGTACGTACGCAGTTATACATAGTCGGGGTCCTTGCTGCATACTAGCAGTTACGCCCGACTATGCTTGTGTAAATAATATAATTTTGAGTAGTGTTGTGAATGTATGATCGTTTAGCGTATTTGTGTACTGTATGAGAGTGTGTTATAGAATACGTAATTAAATATGATATAATATTAAATATTGCGCAGGTGTACAATGTAAATTAATAAATAATATGAACTAATATACATAAATATAGTAGAAACACCTACAATGACACATATGGCCTGCATTAGCCCCTGAAGGTCTGAGCTAATAAAACGGAAATTAGCATTTCACTTACTATATTTTCTCTTAGCAATTCAGCAAGTTCTTCATGCTCAGCAGATAATGCTTCGTACCAGATCAGTGGAATGGCCAACGTGATTTCACCTGAAAACGAAGGAAAACCTTCTAATAATAGAAGCTTATTGCTGACGGATGAACGTAAGAAAAGCCCGTAAGCATGAAGCTCTCTTTGTGAAACGACCCCACAAAAGTTTACGTGGAGAACCTATCCAATATTTTTTTTATTGCTTATATGGGTGGACGAGCTCATAGCTTACCTCGTGTTAAGTGATTACTGGAGCCTAAAGACATATACAACCTAATTGCACCACCCACCTAGAGATATAAGTTCTAAGGTCTCAAGTATAGTTACAACAGCTGCCCCGCCCTTCAAACCGAAACGCATTACTGCTTCACGGCAGAAATAGGTGGGGTGGTGGTACCTCTCTACCCAAGAGGTCCTAACACCAGTAATTACACAAATTATAATTTTGTGGGTTTGATTTTTATTACACAATGCAATTCCTTCACCGTGGAAGCCAATCGTGAACATTTGTTGAGTACGTTTTTCATTACAAAAATTTGTAATGAAAAATATGTTTGTTTATAAAATGTAGTTTTGAGGCTACACCCATTTTATAATAATTCCAGTAATTTCCAATTGCTAGTGAACACTAAAATATATCTCAAAAGTTAATATTTTAAATTTTACACTGCTTTAGCAAAAAAAAAAATCAGTTTTTTTTCATTTCCTGAACATTTTACATTTTCAGAGATTTACCCTTTTCGAAATTGCATATTCAATTAGAATGAAGTTAAAAAAAATTCTGAATTAAAATTTGATAACTACCCTATTATTGTCGAGATATGCTAATTGGGTGTTCCTAATTAAACAAACACAAAACTGAACTAAATTATTAACTAAAAAACTTACCGTTATACATTGGCCTGAATTCCTCGTCATAAATCCTCCAAGCTTTGGCGTGAGCCAGCAAAACATGCTTAGTACACACATAAGGGGCCACGTGAGGCTCTAAAATAGGAGGAGCCATTCCGCCAGTGTTATAAACATAGTCGCAAATCGATACAGGCTCGTTTATAGAGACCCAGGTTTTAACTCTATCCGCGAACAGAGAGAACACGACCCTGGCGTAGTCCTCAAACCAGTCGACTATCAGCGGATTCATCCAGCCACCTGGGAATAATAATAAAAAAAAAAAAAACTATAAAAATGTGACTGCCTCGTCTCGTCCTGTGTGCGTGACTCGATAACAAGATGCCAACGTAAAATACGCCTTTGCAAACACGTGACTCAAAATATTAACTGACAGTAAAGGTCGCTTCAAAACGTTAAGGATGTGAATCAAAAGTGTTATAATAATTAGCATGTTTTAAAAAAAAGTTTGTAAGCCTAAAAATTCTTTTGTTAACTTTACTCTTAGAACGTAATTTTCACAGGCTACAAGACGCAAAAATAATTTTGCAAATTTGCACAGGCGTCAAGGACCGATGGCAGTACAGACATTTTATAACTTCGCTTTATAATCTTGTAAGCTCTTAGCTGAGTAGACGAGCTCACGGCCCACCTGATGTTAAGTGGTTACCGGAGTCTATAGACACATACGATGTAAATGCCGCCACCCACCTTGACAATATATGAGTTCTAAGGTCTCAGCTGTTACAGTACAACGGCTGCCCTACCCTTCAAACGCATGATTGCTTCACGGCAGAAATAGGCAGGGTGGTGGTATCTACCCATGCGGACTCATAAGACGTCTTACCACCAGTAGAACTTCCAATGTGAAGCAATATTTAATATTACGTAACAAAGATGAAAACGCATATTCTAAAATGGGCATTGGTACCAATCTTTACGTCCTAGAACGCATTTTGATCTCGCACGTATAGATACTACGCTGATTATTCCTACAGCGATGTGTTCTAGCTTGAAAGATGCGATTAAACTATCAGTTGGAAGCTTCAATCATATACCATACAGGTCAGATATTCCCAAAGTAGTTAGTCGATTTCGACAGGACCCAAAAAAAAAAAAAACTGCCCGTATAGAGAAATTTGAGTTCATCGAAATCCTATACTGGTATAAATACCATCACATCCTTCCAAATAGCAAAATCATTTCGATTTCGCAGCAAAATCATGAACGGGTCGACAACACGTCCTTGGTCTCAACATATCCTACCACAAGGACCTTAGCGAGAGGAAAACGACCAGAATATCATTGGCATTAAACTAGAATTGTTTGAGGTATTCTGAGTCACACATGCAGACTTTTATCGTAATGTCTCATTTAATCAAAACAACTTACCAAGATCCTGCAAGCTCTGGGGTAAATCCCAATGAAAAATGGTAACAAGAGGTTCAATCCCCTTATCCAAAAGCCCATCAATCAGGTTGTTGTAGTACTTCTGGCCGTCTTCGCTGATCTTATTACTAAAACCCGTAGGCATAAGCCTTGGCCAAGACAGAGAGAAACGGTAGAAATGTAGACCAAGTTCCGTTGCCATCTCTATGTCTCTCTCCCAAAGATGATAAGAGTCGCAGGTCACGTCTCCATTAGTGAGATCCATTATCGCTTCAGGTTTGGTGTGGACTAGCCGATCCCATATGCTTTCACCTTTGTCTGGAATGTAAAAACTATTAAATANAAAAAACTTAATGCGGTCGAATAAATTAAAATTTGATGTCGTTTTATCGCGTCCACAGAAAAGACTCCATTTCATGTAACCATAAGTTTATTGGATTTATTGTATACAGATAGTAACGATATATTTTTTTTATTCTCAATATTATTATCTTTATTATATTGTTTGTGTTACAAGTAAATAATTTTAATATATAGGGTACTTTAACTATTTTTAAACATGGCTCAAACATTATACCTTCGTCTTGTAACAGTCCACAGGAAGAGATTTTTTGATGTTTAACGCTATCAAAATGAATTTATGAAATGTAATATTTTACAAGATACGATTAAAATGAGTAGTAATATAGTACCTTTACGATTTAAATACTTTCAAATATTCGCCAATTTGCTCTTTTAGATGATACATTGCTATAACACTTTTTTTACCCTTTTTGTGTATGACCCAGTTACAACGGCTGACCCGCCCTTCGAACCGAAACGCATTACTGCTTCACGGCAGAAATAGGCAGGGTGGCGGGATCTACCCGCGCGGACTCACAAGAGATCCTACCACCAATAATTACGCAAATTATAATTTAGCGGGTTTTTTTTTATTACACGATTCCTTCACCGTGGAAGTCAATCGTGAACATTTTTCGTGGTTTTTTTATCTGGCCATTTCCTTTTTTTGTGGCGATAGGGACAAATCATTTTTGTTTTATTATCATAGATCGGTACGCTAGCTCACGGCCGATCTGACGTCAGAGAAATAGCGGTTAAGATCGAGACTGGGCAACATCAAAACTATTTTTACAGCTTGACTGACGATGACGCGATTTTCACGATGTCGGAAGACTAAGATGTTACTCGCCGACATTTAAATATTGAACCAGCTACTGTCATATTTTTGCATCAAATATTTTGTGGATACTGGGGCCTAGCATGAACATCCTGGTTGGTTAACTCGTCCAGGACATTTATAGGCTAATACTCTGAATTCTATTTCAGGACTCATACGGGGAGTTTTTAGAAAAAGGCCTTTGAATGCTTCTTCTTAAATGCTCTCCGAGCATCCGAAGACAGGATCTAATTGGTTTGAAGGGTGGGGCAGCCGTTGTAACTATACTTAAGACCTTAGAACTTATATCTCAAGGTGGGTGGCGCATTTACGTAATAGATGTCTATGAACTCCAGTAACCACTTAACACAAAGTGGGCTGTGAGCTCGACCAGTCATCTAAGCAACAAAAAAAAACATTGTGAAGACGACAGTCATGGATGAAAGTGGTCATGACCTTCATATGTTGTTACTAGCAAGGTCACCTTCGCGATCTGTGCTCCGTTAACATGCTCGCAATAAGACTAAAAGATAACATCAAACCGCAACAATAATAGATAAGATAACTTATGTCAAGTGACAAACATCACGAGATTGGGCTATTTATGGAAAGAGTAACGAAATTGTAATCTTTATGCGCGATAGGCCAAAAATATTGTTGCTTCCCGAGATATAATTGCTTAAAAGAGCAACCTGGTTTTTTTTTTTATTGCTTAGATGGGTGGACGAGCTCACAGCCCACCTCCACGACTTTCTTTTCCTAATCTAATTTAAACCATTACTGGTGGTATTACTGGTGGTAGGACCTCTTGTGAGTCCGCGCTGGTAGGTACCACCACCCTGCCTATTTCCGCCGTGAAGCAGTAATGCGTTTCGGTTTGAAGGGTGGGGCAGCCGTTGTAACTATTTGTTTAAAACCTTATAGAATTGTTCTCTGTGGGCGACGGTATTTCCGTTATTGGCTCTTGTAACTACAAAATACCAGATGAGCTATAACCTCGTCCACTTATCTAAGCAAGAAAATAAGTTTTGCCACAGGATTATGAAGCTTGGTACCATTAAGTCATGACCGTTAAGTGATTAAGTGCAGTACACTGGTGAACACTTAGAGAACTGGATGCAATCCAATCTCTCACTGACTGAAGTAGTGACATTGTGTACAGATACTACTAACCTATTTATGTATACTAATATTATAAAGCTGAAGAGTTTGTTTGTTTGAACGCGCTAATCTCAGGAACTAATGGTCCGATTTGAAAAAATCTTTCAGTATTAGATAGCCCATTTATTGAGGAAGGCTATAGGCTATATAACATCACGGTAAGACCAATACAAGTGGAGCCACGAATAAAGAATGTTTCAAAATAGGGGTTTAAATAGCTCCTAGATTAAAAAATATCTTCACTTTCTACGTCAATGAAGTGGGGTGTAAAGTTTAGCGTTATGTCAAAGTAACTATTCCACGCGGACGGAATCGCGTGCTAAAACTAGTTTGTTATAAATGCTTACGTTAAATCGGATTGATATGTGGGAGGAAATAATACCACTTTACTTACATAAACAGTTCATAAATATATTAGGACAATATCCTATCACTCTCTGCAATGATGCAACAGCAAATAAGTTGTTTCCACAAATAACATTATTCAATTATATTTTCTCTGTTATCTTAATACAATTGATATAGGTAAACCAATAGTCGTCTGTAATAATGAAGATTGTAAACTATTCGAAATTAAGGTCTTTTAGACCTAAATTTTTGTATAAAATAAACTTAAAACAAACAAAAGGAATCCGTCCAACGGGAGACACATCAAAGGAAAAACAAAATTGTTATTTTTATTTAATTCTGAGCATATTTGTCTACCTTTTAAACCTTCTCTGGACTCCCACAAATAATTCAAGACCAAAATTAGCCAAATCGGTCCAGCCGTTCTCGAGTTTTAGCGAGACTAACGAACAGCCATTCATTTTTATATATAAGAAGATTAGTATAGTATTAGTATTAGTATATTTTATATATTTATCAGTGTCTTCTTCTGCTTTTTATACAGAATTTGGCTCCAACGCCTTTGGCATTGATTTTGCCAATGTCAAAGTATTTACAAAAATTACCGGTACTTAGAGTTAAAAAACATTACTAATAATAAATCTAAATACAAATAAATTTGATCGGTTTTTCCATACGCGAAACTGTGGTTTTAAGAACAGCACAAACAAATATATAGTTATGTTAGACTATTATCAGTGTCAGAACAATTCGACGTTTTTAATTAAACTTCAATTAAGCTTGCCTCATTCAAATCGCTGAAGAAGGTTTTTTTTGTCCTGATATTTTTCCAAATTTTAAACTTCAAATAGCTCTCGTGTAAATTTTGAAAAAATATTGCTTAAACCAAATAGTCTCTTCACTCGACGATATGTTAAATAACGAAACCAAAATACACTAGACTATTAGACTACTATAGAAAATTTAGCCCAATCTCCGATACACTAACCAAGCATAACATTCGTCTGTGAAATATTTGATCAACAACACGATTAAAATGTTTATATGCAAATATATTTACTGGTGGTAGGACTTCTTATGAGTCCGCGCGGGTAGGTACCACCACCCCGCCTATTTCTGCCGTGAAGCAGCAATGCGTTTCAGCTTGAAGGGTGGGGCAGCCGTTGTAACTCTACTGAGGTTTTAGAACTTACATCTCAAGGTGGGTGGCGCGTTTACGTTGTAGATGTCTATGGGCTCCAGTAACCATTTAACGCCAGGTGGGCTGTGAGCTCGTCCACCCATCTAAGCAATAAAAAAAATATATTAAATAAGATATTTACCTAGACACAACTATCCACGAATAATTCATTGTTATCACTGTATCGTTGTAGCCATCGGTATTATCACGTACACAATGCTAATAATATTCTGCACTAGTGACTAATATCTCCACCCAATTTATCAGCCCGAAATACTTTTTCAGGAAGAATTAAATGAAGAGTTATAAAAACTATGTTCTTTTTTATTCGCATTAAAGTCTTCCACTACTTCTTGTTCTTCTTCTTCTTCTTCGTTCTTATTCTTCATTAAAGTTTTCTACTACTTCTTGTTAGACTACTTCTTCCACTACTTTTGGTCCCGATGCTACAATGTGGTTTCGGCGCAACGTATTTGTATTTTTCCATTCAGCGCTGATCAGACATCATCTCTTCAATCACACTGTTCTCACGCATATCGTCATTCAAACAGTCTATCCAAGTATTTTTAGGACGCCCCTCCTTCTTTCGCGGTTCCCTCCTAGCTGTACCTTTACTCAACCACTTATTCTGATGAAACTGAAAAGCCCTGAAGTAATCCTTCCTTGATAAAAAAATAACCGCAACTTCTATGCTAGATAGTCGAAGATCTAAGAGAAATTAGTAGCATAGTGCTTGAGCTCACAAGAACCCGCGTCACCATCAGTGAAGCCATGCCCATCAGTGAAGCGGCCCCATTCAAATCGCAACCGATTATTGGTTTTGACCAAATAAAAATTGCAACTACTCCAACCACACTGTGTCTTGTCAATACGGTTCGCTCGGTATGCACTGACGAATTGCTAGAGAACCTTATCATTGCTCTTTGCGGAATTTTAATCTGTCCTTAGTAAAAATTCGCTATTTTTTTGTTTTTTAATGGCTACCGAAGCCTGTACCAGGGCCCTGAAATTACAATACTTTAAGACAAGTATTTTTTTTGTATGGAAACTAGCGACATCTTGTAGCGGATGCCCCTAAACTAATATGTTGTTAATGTTAAGTCATTTAATTATTATATCTTCGTATATAACTTCTTCTTCTTCTTCTTCTTCCGTCCCTGTACCTGTTATCTGGAGTCAGGTACCCTCACTCGGCGCCAGGCTGATCTGTCCTGGGTTGTCGGTTTTGGCAATTGGGCTTTCTTACGATGTTTGACCACCAGGTAGATGACGGGCGGTTTCTACCTTTCTTTTGTTCTGGCAAGCTTAATGCGATTTTCACTACATGGTCTTCGTCCCGTCTCATTATATGGCCATCCAAGGCGATTTTCTGTAATGTTGTCTGTGATTGATGCGACTTTAAAGTTCCCTTGTATGTATTCATTCCGAACTCTGTTCATCCTGGTCACCCCACTTGCCCAACGCAACATCTTCATTTCGTTTACATGTACCACCTGTTCATGCGTTTTCTTGACTGTCCAGCATTCGGAATCGTGCAGTAAGGCTGGCCTGACGCCTGTCTTGTATACTTTACCCTTTGTTTTTATGGGCATACGGGTATCACACAGAGCTCCTGTTAGCGACCGCCATTTCTGCCACGCTACATTTACACGGTGCGCAATATCGGCCTCCACACTGGCATCCGGCGTGAGCACAGATCCCAGATATTTTAAACTTGCTCACAGTGGGGATAGGTGTTGATCAAATACATATTAGTTTAGGGAAAATCTTTCTTCGCATTTTTAAGAAAATTCACAACATTTTTTAGTATAGTTTATTTACATTTAACTAAAGTATGTAGGTACCATTTTGTTCGATAACTTTTTTCCATCTTGGAGGCAGGTACATGATCCCATTGCTATAGAAAATTTCGGGCTTCTGATCTAAATACCGCGACAATTGGTTTTGGCTGTCCTCTCGTGATGTTAACCTGACACTGCCTAAATAATTCTGAAGAGACCAAAACAAGTGGAAATCTGAAGATGCAAGGTCAGGACTATACGGCGGATGCATTAACATCTCCCAGCCAAGCTCCCTTAATTTTTGCTGAGTGGCTAAAGATGTGTGAGGTCTAGTGTTATCATGATGAAAAACCACACCCCTTCTGTTGATTAAATCCGGTCGCTTTCTCTCAACTTCTTGCTTTAATCTCATCAGTTGTTCGCAGTAGAGTTCAGAATCGATGGTCCTACCTGGTAACAACTCATAATGAATAATGCCCTTCCAATCCCACCACACACACAGCATCACCTTGTTGCGAGTTAACCCGGGTTTTGCCACAGTCTGTGAAGCCTGACCGGCCTTTGACTACGACCGTTTTCGCACGTCCTTGTACGTGATCCACTTTTCATCACCAGTTATCAGCTTCTTCAAAAATGGTTCGGTTTCATTATGTCGTAATAAAGAATCACAAATGAGTACACGGTTCATTAGGTTTTTTTCAGTGAGCTCGTGAGGTACCCAAATATCGAGATTTTTGTGTACCCAGTTTTTTCAAATGCGCCAAAACTGTTTTGTGATCAATTCCCAGTTCTTCAGCTATGTCGTAACTACTGATATGCCGATCTTGCTCCACTTTTTCAAAAATGGCATCAATTTTATCCGTAATAGGGTGACTAGAGCGACGTGCATCTTTGACATCAAAATTTCCGGATTGAAAACGCTTAAACCAAATTTGTGCTACTCTCACAGACACTGCACTAGCTCCATAAACATCGCAAATTTTTTTGGCGGCTTGCGTTGCATTTTTATCTTTTTTGTAGTAAAATTTTAAAATGTATCGAATTTCTTCATTAGATTCAATCATCTTGACAGTACGAAAAATAAATAAAAATCACACATTTTCCTAATTTGGATTTGGAATCATCTTCTTTAAAATTTAAACTTTTAATGATACCAAAACCAGCCAGATACAAATAGTAAAGCCAAAGAGATTTTATTACAAGTTCATACATACTATAATGCGAAAAGACTTTTTCCCCAACCTATTAAATTATATACGTGAAAGACGATATGTGCGAGGCCTTCAGCTCTAACACTAGGAGCAGGCTTAGGGACCCCGGTAACCGTTCTCGTCGAACTCGACAAAGAGTTCGACGTGCAACCTAACCCGCACGCTGAGTTTTTCGCCAGATCTTCTCAACGGGTCGCGATTCCGCAAACCGGTAGTAGGTTCATTCGCGAAGCAGTTGCTCTTGAGTTGTTAGGTGTCCTCTGGAGGCACTCGGGCCGCTGTTAGCAAAACCCACCACTCCTGGCTGAGCCTTTGCTCGCCCACCTGTCGTGGTGAAACTGGAAAGGCCTCCGGGCCACCAGTAATCAATCAATCATAAAAAAAAAACGATATGTGTAAAAAGGGAGTGAGCGAAAAAATGGTATATGACAGAAGAGTATGGAAGGAGAAAAGATGAAGCGCCGACTCCAGGTGACCGGGAGAAGGGCAGGAGAATGATGATTATATAAACATTATCATTTACACTTGATATGTGTTCAAATGTTCAAGTTAATCGAATGTGTTTATGTTTGTAATTCTTTTTCTCAGTCGCATGCGCTCTTGGCAGAGTGGTCGTGGCCATCACTTCGGGTGGTGGTGCGCTTCACCAGACGTCACCATTCCTCGTGCACCGCGGCCCTTCTTGTGCACTCGTTAACGGGACCGTTTAGAGCTTTTTATTTGGTCGGTCCATCGTAACGGTGATCTGCCGCGTGGTCTTGTACCCTCTATCATGCTCTGCACCACAAGGCGCTCAACTGAGTCGTCACCCCGCCGCGACACATGCCCGAAGAAAGTGAGAATGCGACCCTGAACGATGGAGGATAGTCGCTGCTTGATGCCAAGTCCCTGTAGAATTAAATGATTCGTTCTGAACTCCGTCCACGATATTTGCAGCATTCTTCTCCAGAACCACATTTCGAGAGCATATTTTATCCTCTTTTTCTCACTTTCTCTCAATGTCCAGGTCTCAGCAGCATAAAGAAAAATGGTGAAGACCAGCGCTCTTACAAGTCTGATTTTAGTGGCTTTGGTGATATTTCGATTCCCCCATATTTTCTTCAGCCTGTCCATGGCTGACCTCGAAATAGCCATACGCCGCTTGATTTCATCAACGCCCCCGCCAGTGTTCGATATCAGTGCACCTAAGTAAATGTATGACTGTACGAAATCGCAGCTCGCAATTTTTGTGACCTCTGGCGAGTTATTATTAGCACGGTCGACAATCATGACACTTGTTTTGTTGCGGTTACTTTTAAGTCAAGACTTTTTTTTTAATTAATAGATTGGTGGACAAGCTCACAGCCCACCTGGTGTTATGTGGTTACTGGAGCCCATAGACATCCACAACGTAAATGCGCCACCCACCTTGAGATATAAGTTCTAAGGTCTCAAGTATAGTTACAACGGCTCCCCCACCCTTCAAACCGGAACGCATTACTGCTTCACGGCAGAAATAGGCAGGGTGACTGACGCGTTCCACTCTGCCGAGTAGCTCTTCCATCTGGCTGACACCTGACGCGACTAAAGTGATGTCGTCTGCATAACGAAGATTTGAAATCTTCCAAAGTTTGTAATAATTATGTTGAAATATTTAAAAAGAAGTAAAATTAAATGAGCATTTAAAAAAAAAAACTGACTCGTGAAGGATTCGAACCTCCGCCCTCCGATGATCAAGGTAATTCTATATATCGGCGCTCTAACCTGCTGAGCTAACGAGTCAACCGGGCATGTATGCAAAAACATTCTATAGTATCAGTAGTATGACATCATCTTGATATTAATACGTGAAGCAAAATCTTTATCCCTTTTTACGAAATATGTATGCACGGACAGAGAAGTATGAAATTTCCCTCACTTATAGAGAATATAGAGAAGGAGTGCAGAATACTAATTTTTTTTTAAATTATGCATTAGTAATACATTAAATCAATAAAAAAAAACATTACGCATATAATGAGGATGGCCAAGGTTTTGAATTTTGAATGCAGTAGTATAGTCCTTGAAAAATCTAAAATCTTGGTATAATTATTTTTTTTAAACGACCATAAATGAGGTAGTTATGTGCAATTTAGTGCCGCTGCTGAGCTACTTGCGTTATGCCGGTCACTCACATTCGCACGAATACACAAACCCGTGAGTGTAGGACGACATTTGCAAATGATTATACAAAGTTTTCGCTGCATTCGCGGTTTTCCAAACTCTGACGGTTTTGTAATACGGGCTCTACATTCGCTCGCGAACCGCGGCCGCGAATCACGGCCACGGTTCGCGCATGAACACGACATGAAAAACATAGCCCTCTACACACGCAACCTTTCGCATTTACGTTCGCGCATTTGACTGAAATGGACGTTGAAGTTGCTGCTGCTCTGACATTGTGCACCTTAGCGTGTTACAATTATAAGGCCTCCGGGCCACCAGTAATCTTTCAATCATAAAAAAAAAACCTTTATAAAATAAAAATAAAACAAATAAAAAATTAATGGAGGAGAAGAAGGTGGTGTATGACACAAATCCATCGCAACAATCCACTTTTTTCTATACGTTCTGTAGCTAGACATTAAGAAATCCTTTTTCTTCTTTAAATATGGCACAGGAATTTCCATAATTGCACTAATTCTCAGCCATGCATCATATACTTTATTTTTGTTTTTATGATCTCCATGTTGAGCTTGCCAAAGCACGGGCTCAGCATGATAACATTCAAGGAACGTTAGTTGCCGATCGTTACTCCATTCGATACTCATGACGTCCGCTTGTCACTGCGTCTCGCACACAACTGCGAACATACCCGAGTGTGGATGCCTTCGCGTTCGCGCTTCGCAGGCCCTTTGTCGCGGGCCAGAAAACCGCCACCGGACGGGGAACGCCGCGAAGCGCGACCGCGAAGTCGCGAAACCATCCACACTGCGTGGACATTCGCACCGCGAATGTGGAGCCGGCTTAATGGACATCAAAGCGCGCGAACCGCGATCCTTCGCGTAGTCTCCCACACATTCGTGTGACCAGTTGCGCCTTCGATTGCGAAGGTAACGGACGTTTCGCCATTTTCATAGTTCGTGACATCTACTGTGTAGCGTACCTTCATCATAGTTTGGAACAGCGCCAAGGTGATGGAGTTCATTGAACTCCTGCAAAAGGAATCGAACATATGGGACCCTCAAAAGAAATTCCATAAAAACAGAATGGCCGTTAATGACGCCTGGGAAAAAATTAAAAACTCTTTTTCTCTTCAACTTTCTATTGACGAATTAAAAATGAAGAGACATTCGTAAACAAGTGTAGGAGGAATCGCAAACGGGTTCGCAAATTGAGTACCGAACCCATTTGCACAGCCGCTAAGTTTGCGAATGAATAGTACGAGATCCCGCTGCAGGATTAGTGCGTTCATCGATTTTTTGCTTAAAACCAAATTTTTATGTTTATTTATAATTAGGAGAACTAAGCAGATACCAATGGAGAAGGAGATCCTTACGCGGAAGTGGCATTGGATTGGTCACACTTTGAGAAAGCCCGATACCCACCTATCAAAGAAAGCACTGACCTGGAAAGTGTCTGGCAAAAGGAAGAGAGGCCGCCCCAGAACAACTTGGCGCCGCTCGGTGGAGCAGGAGCGAGGGGTCTTGGGCATGACGTGGGAGGAGTTAGAACAGACTGCCCAAGACCGATATAAATGGAAAAATTTGATTCGAGCCCTACACCCCAGCAGAGGGTAATAGGAAAGAATGATGATGATAATTAGGAGAATATTTATTTACTAGGGTGCCTATCAAAATTTGGCCGCCAATATTTTTAATTAAATTATTTTTAATTGATTTTTGTTAAAAAAATTGTTTATATATTTTTTAAATAAAATAACGTCTACATCACGTTAATTTATATGAAGATTCTGAAAAATCACGGTTGCCGTTGCGCACCTGGCCGCACCTCTTCGTATGATTTCGATAAATTTATACGTTTATAACGTATATTTATTAATTATATGTCAAATTGAAGCTAATTTTTTTCTATTCATTATCATACATGGTTGCTTAATTACATCTGGCCGCAAATAAGGGTTACTGGCTCTTAAAGATGATAAATATCTAAGGTACAGTGAAAGAGAGTTAACGCGTAACATCATTTATTAGACGAGGATAGATCCATCCTCGAAGTTTCTCTGAAGGATAAATTCAGGAATGAGCTTATTCGACAGAGAGCTAAAGTCATCGACATAGTTCAAAGAGTCAGCGAGCTGAAGTAGCAGTGGGCTGGCCATATGTGCCGTAGAACTGACGATCACTGAAGCAGATGGGTTTTCGAGTAGAAACCGCGCAATGGAAGACGTAACGTGAGACGCCCCCTGGCAAGGTTAACCTATCACTATGCCAAATTTTCGTCCAAATTCGCTTTCTACAATAATCTGTGCGCCTGTTCAACAAAATCCCACAAGATGTTCAGAAACTACATATAAATAGGTTTAAGAAAACTATGAAAGAACATCTGTGCAATAAAGCTTACTATAAAGTCAATGATTATCTAGAAGATTGCACAAAGTGGGAATGAGTTGCTCGCTCCGGGCATTTTAATATTGTAAAATTGTTATGTTATAATCAGGTACTTATTGTAAAAATGAATATTTAAAAAAATCTAATATTAAAAAAAATTATCTAATATTAAAAAAAAAAAAGACATGCCCGCTGAGTTTCTTGCCAATTCTTCTCAGGACGGAGGCTAATTCTTGTGAATTGGCGGTAGTTCTTTTGACGTTCAACAAGTATGTACTTTCATTTATGTTGAATAAAAATTTTTTGATTTGATTTGATTTGATTTGCGAACAACAAGCATACAAAAGTTTAGTAATATACTATTACAAAAGGTTCACATATATTGGGTAGTATAAATTCTTAAGACATTTTCTACAGAGATCTGTTTTTGATGACGCTGGCATAGTAGTTAGCAGAATCACGAGGAGTTCGAGTCCTATTTGGCGAGTTGAAATCCACTTCATAAATTCCATACTTTATCCTGAAAATAAATGAATATATAACCATAGAGTTATACATACAGTTATATCCACCTAGTGTTGAGGAATCACTGATGCCCATAGACATCGCAATGTGAATACCCAATACCCATCATGTGACATGAGGTCGGAGCTTTTTTTTTTTATTGCTTATATGGGTGGACGAGCTCACAGCCCACCTGGTGTTAAGTGGTTACTGGAGCCCATGGACATCTACAACGTAAACACGCCACCCACCTTGAGATACAAGTTCTAAGATCTCAGTATAGTTACAACGTGTGCCCCACCCTTCAAACCGAAATGCATTACTGCTTCACGCCAGAAATAGGCAGGGCGGTGGTACCTACCCGCGCGGACTCACAATAGGTCCTACCACCAGTAAAAGCTTCAAATTACATTGTGTAACGGTTTCCTTCCTTTTTCCTTCCCATTTCCTTTCTACCCTTCAAGCCAGAACGTACGACTGCTTCACAGTAGAAATAGCTAAGATGGCGATATATACCCGTGCATTACCCCAGAATATTCCGGGAAGTATTGGCAAAAACAGATTACTCACTTGTATCCCATCAGCCATTCGAAATTATCCATCAGGGTCCAAGCCGTGTATGCTGTTACATTTATCTTGTCAATTTTAATAGCCTTCAGGACCTGAAATCGGTTAATAACATGACAACGAGTCAAAAGGATATACCGGTTTTGTCCTGGTTGACAGAGATAATGACGTGAGACTTCTGCTCTGACTTCATCAGAATAATGATTCCAAAAAAAAAACATAATTAATCGAAAGGTACCTCTCCCAAATAGTTCTTTATGTACTGCACTCTCTCCACGTCACGGAGACCATTGGAGTCGTCAGCATATCCATTCTCAGTGATCAAGATTTGCACATCACCGTATTTCTCCCTGATCCAATTCAACTGGTTTCTCAAGCCTTCCGGGTAGATCTGGAAACGAAAATTTTTCGCTTTTAAGCTCATAGTCGTGAGATATACCCATCGAGTCTGAATAGAAAGAGCGCTAACGGAAATTAGTTCTCACTCCAAACCAAGATGGGGCAGCAGTTTCCCAGCCTTCGCCCTGACGGAATACGACACCTATTTCGGGCGCGCCAGTGAATGGCCATATGCCTGATTCATTTCCTTCGGCGATCTTCACCAAGAATGTGGTGTAATGGTTGAGAGCGTAGTAATCATAAGTTCCTGAAATAATAGGGTAAAATTAACCACTGGCTATGGTGGGCCGAAGGCTTTACTTAGTCAATCTGGTTATCGATCAGAAATTATCGCACCCCTAATTCTTCTGCTACTGCTTTTCCGTCATGCCCCTGTCCTAGTAAAGCATTTTCCTCCTCTTCCTCCATTATCTTTAAACTTTTACGTCTTATGAGCCCGAATATGTAGTAACGATCTCCCTATTTCTGCCGTGAAGCAGTAAGTAATACGTTTTGGTTTGAATTTATTACACGATGCTATTCCTTCACCGTGGAAGTCATTCGTGAACATTTGGCAAGTACGTATTTCGTTAGAAAAATTAGTACCCGCCTGCGGGATTCGAACACCGGCATAGCCGCATCGCTCAATGCAATTGCACCGGCCGTCTTATCTTTTAGGCCACGACTACTTCATATGTCTATTAATTAAATAATTATATTGTCACTTCGCGGTCGGTCATTTTTAAAGCAAAATGAAAAATCTGTGGGCCTCATTGGAAATCATATTTAACTTCACTAGAGAGGGAAGAGGTTGACCGCGGAAGACATGGATGTAGTGTGTGTATGACGATATGAGAGAGAGAGGAGTGAGTGTTTAGATAATGGCTGATAGAAGAGAATAGAAGAGAAAAATTAGCTGTGCCGATCCCACCTTGTGGATAAGGTGGTGAAAAAATAAGGAAGATTTAACTTTACTGTGTGCCAATTAATTGACAAAGTTATCGAATAATAACCATTTTTGAATCTCCAACAATCTAACCTTTGATATATTCTGCTTCTTGTTGTGTAAAAGACGGTAGTCTGGACCTGGAGAAGCCCTTCTCAAAGCTTCTCTCTTCTATTAACATAGCTAAATCTGGTGGCCAGTTGCCTTTAAATATGGGATGGCCGAACCTTTCTTCCTGATAAAAAAAGAAACGAAAGCTTAAAATCATCCTAAACATAATAAATTTTTACTGCTGATAGAAACTACTGTTTGTCACAAATATGGATGAAGTCTATTTTCTAGAATATCGTGCGTAATTTGAACTGCTTTGTCACTTGCATTGAAATCTAGATACTTGATCACCATTTGAGAAGCCGTAGATTCGACTCTACAGAATGCTATGTCCGATATTTGAAATCAAGTGTTCTTAAGTGGAGACCGCGAATTAACGAACGTAGTACAGGACACCTTCGAGCTCAGTGGTGTGGTGATCTATACAGGGTGACTGGCAAGAAGTAGATGAGAGAAGCCGAGGATCGTGCTCCGTGGCGTGTTATTGTAGGGATCAAAGTCCAGCAGTGGACAGCTACAAGATGATGATGATGATTTTCCGATATCGTCTTTGAGATGTCCAAGAAAAGATGTTACTGGGGGTAGGACCTCTTGTGAGTTACTGGTGGTAGGACCTCTTGTGAGTCGGTGCGGGTAGGTACCACCACGCTGCCCTATTTCTGCTGTGAAGCAGTAATGCGTTTCGGTTTGAAGGGTGGGGCAGCCGTTGCAACTATACTTGAGACCTAAGATCTTATATCTCAAGGTGGGTGGCGCATTTACGTCGTAGATGTCTATGGGCTCCAGTAACCACTGAGCGCCAGGTGGGCTGTGAGCTCGCACACCCATTTAAGAAAAAAAATATATAAATTAATCATAAGCATCTTACACAAAAGGCATTCATAAGTGCGGTTCGTTCTTCATCCTCTTCCCTCAGCGGCTCAAACCACAGAGCGAGCTGCGATATTGTCATTTTACCTTCAAAAGCATAATTATATCAAGCTAGAGGTCCCGCAGTAGTCGAAATTCGACTATAATTAATTGAAATTGTAAGTTTGTACACTATTATGATTGTATTTTATACTTCTATGATCTCAAATTTCGCCAAGACTACACTATTAAAATATTAACAAAGACAAACAATACTTAATCTATTCTCAATTTGACAACAGACTTCAAGAACAAAAGTTTGACAATTAATAGTATGCATGCGTGTGTGCGTCAAATACATGATATGTAGTATGTGTAATGTTTTCTTTATTGAATTAATGTATCTTTTATGCATTATTTGAAAAAAATATTAGCATTGTGTACTTCTTCTCTATATTCTCTTTAAGTGTGGAAAATTTCATACTCCTCCGTCCGCGCAATTTTCGTAAAAAGGGATACAAAGTTTTTGCTTCACGTATTAATATATAGATTTTATACTCACTAAAACTCTTTAGAAAGACGATCGAAATCAATAATACAAAGAAAATTTTCTGGCTAACGACTTGGCGCATTCATTGTACTGTGATTTTAATAACCGATTTAAGTACCATCCATTTCTGAAATAACCTTTTTACTTCATTAAGGCGATAAGCACCACTCACCTTGAGGCATGAGGTCTTAAGTCTCAATTGCATGGTATAACGACTGTCCAGTCCTCCTTGCTTTTGGCTACCAGTAAGCACTTATAAGCTCTAGGGTCTTTTGTGGGATAAAAGCAATCCTACACCCACACTAGTTGGCGTCATTATCTGGGTTGGTTCATTAAGGCACTCAACTCCGCAGACTTAAAGAGCGGGGATAAGAACGCATGTCCCATGCATTCAATAAAAAATCCTATTAAACTAGGCTTAACTTTTTTTTATTTTATTGCTTAGATCGGTGGACAAGCTCACAGCCCACCTGGTGTTAAATGGTTACTGGAGCACATAGACATCTACGACGTAAATGCGCCACCCACCTTGAGATATAAGTTCTAAGGTCTCAAGTATAGTTACAACGGCTGCCCCATCCTTCAAATCGAAACGCATTACTACATCACGGCAGAAATAGGCAGGGCGGTGGTGGTACCTACCCGCGCGGACTCACAAGAGGTCCTACCACCAGTAAGGTAACTTTAAACGAAAGACTTGGTGTATCAGGGTGCACCACAAAACTCGAATTGTGGTATTTACAGATCAAACACATACATAAAACCTCTTCTTCACCTATTATGCAATCTTAGTAAATGACCATCATTTTACTGAGATGATATTTCATGCCATATCATCTCATCTAATTTCATTTAATTTTATCCCAGTTGATTAATAACTCAAATTAACCATCTTCATTTCATTTCATTTCATTTCACTCCATATTATCATCTTTCGTAAAAATTAGAATATAAATTAAATTAAGATATGACTTAAAGGTCTTAGTTACCAGATAAGTCATAAAATCCCTTAAAAAAACATTAAATGACAACATGAAAAGTAATACCATGATATTTTGGCTTGTATTCTTCGTCGTAAATTCTCCAGGCCTTAGCGTGGGCTAATAGCACATATTTGCTGCACAAATACACGGCAAGATCTGGACTGTGAAGGGCTGGAGCGATAACCCCGTTGTAACCAGCATCGCATAGTCCAAGTGGCTCGTTAATTGAAATCCAGTATTTTACTCGGTCAGCGAAGAGAGAGTACACAACTCTTGCGAAATCAGCGAACCAGTCGACAATGAGGGGGTTTGTGAAGCCTCCTGAAATAGGGGTGAAATAAGACTGGTAATACTAGTTCGTTCAAGGTTCACCTGGTTTTAAGCCGGACCCTAAAGACTATATACTACTATCGATAGCATTATTACCGCCACCCACCTTGAGACATGAATTCTAGAGCTACGTTGGATAGTACAACTGCTGCCCCTTACTAAAAGTCGAAAAACATTACTGCTTCATGACAGAAATAGACAAGGTAGTGGTATTTACCTGTAGCTAAGTCATAAGACACCCTACCACCAGTTCGCAAATTCCGCAAATTATAATTTTTGCGAGTTTTTCATCCTTATTACTCGAAGAAATAACCTTCATCGTGGAATTGATTCTTGAACATGAGTTAAGTACATATTTAAGTACGTATTTCGTTTCGTAAAATTTGGTATCTAGCCGGGGGATTTGAACACCGTCATAGTCAGACGCGAAATAGAAAAGGGCCAAATATGTCATGTTACGTTCTTAAATATTATAATCGATGGTCTTCAACCACCATGTTACGAAAATTAGATGTGATAGCCATTTAGCGTCTGGTAAGCCGTGTTTCCATCAACTTATTTGAGCCATAAGTCTCAAATATTGAAAAAATTAATACAGAAATACCTTATTCTTGTGACGAAAAGTAATGTGCTTATCTAACTTCTCTTATCTTCCACTACGGTCAAAGCACTATATCCTGGGTGAGGTGCTTGAACAAAGCATTACAAGAACATTGGAGCAAGACTTCCACATTGTTACGACGAAAAAGTAGGATATAGCTATTTCTATGCATTTATTTATATACCAACCCATGTCTTGAAAAATGGAAGGCAAGTCAAAATGATGTATCGTGACCAGAGGCTCTATGTTTCTTGCAAGTAGTCCGTCGATGAGATTGTTGTAGTAATTCTTTCCATCTTCACTTATGTAGTTCGCAAAGCCTGTAGGCAGAATTCGCGTCCAAGACAAGGAGAATCTGTTCAAAGTTACATTGTACTGTTAGAACTTCAAATCCTGATGACTGTATCGTTAATAATCAAGTATCAATCTGATTAAAACTAATTTTTCATTCAAGATGAAGCAGGGCAGCTATGTTTACGTATATTATTACCAGAACAGAACAGAGAACCAGATCCGTCGCAAAATAGTCTGGCCACTTCTTAACCCACTCTTTTTTATGTTTTTTTTTTGGATTGTAAGATTACTGGTGTCCCGGGGGCCTTTCCAGTTTCACCAGGATAGGTGGGGAGCACGTGCTCAGCCAGTAAAGGTAGGATTTTCTAACAGCTGTCCGAGTGCCTCCGAAGGTGTCCTAACAACTCAAGAGCAGCTGCTTCGCGAGTGAATCTACTACCGGATCGGAAACACGACCCACTGAGAAGATCCGGCGAGAAACTTAGTGGACTCTGTCTGTGGGTTAGTTTACTCGCCGAGTCCTTCGTCGCAAGCGACGGGTTCGGTGAGAACGATGACCGGAGTCGGTAGCAATAATCCAAAGTCAGCTCCGTCCTTTGCAACCTGTGATGTATATCATTGTATATATTCTAAATACTTCGTATTTATTGATCTTCATTGAATCGACCTCGAATCTATCTCAAATTATAAAGATTTAATGTCTAATGCAGACTTTTGTTCAAGTTCACCCATCGCCGGACCCTATAGCTTCCTACATTAGTGAATAATTACCGGTAATGGCTCAAGCCAAGTTCGGCAGCCATTTCTATGTCCCTTCTCCATTGGTTGTACGAGTCGCAGGCAATATCGCCGGTGTTACCATCAAAGACCTTACTCGGGGTCTCATGGGTCAGTGCATCCCATAAGCTTTCTCCTTTATCTGTTAAAAGAACAACCAATTTAATGTTGATACTGATAAATAGTCAGACGAGTATACGGCTTATTTGATGGTAAGTCTGCATGGCTCGTGGACGTCAGCAATCCAGGCCAGCATTTAACGTCTGAGTCGTCCGTGGCCCCAAAAAACTCTAAGCTTTATCCAAAACGTCCGAAATAATATATACATATAAATAAAATTGGAATGTCTGTTTGTAATACTGAAATAATTGCTTTTTACCACTAGCATATACTAATATATATACGGTACATACACCAAAATATCATTTTTTACAATTTTTGTCTGTCTGTCTGTTTGTTCCGGCTAATCTCTGGAACGGTTGAACTGATTTTGACAATACTTTCCCTGATAGGTAGCTGATGATGTAAGGGGTAACTTAGCCTACTTTTTTTTAGACTAGCTTAGCCCCGTGGCGTCACCCGTGGTACGACAACAACCGCGGGTAGCATCGCGGGACTAAGCTAGTATATCAATAAAAACACGAGATTTAATACATGACAGTAATTTTAATTATTTCTACGACTTTGCAATAAAGCGAGAAATTACATTTTTTTTTGTTTTCTTAGCGTCGGAGAGAGCTCTGTCTATTTTCTCACTCTCGCTCGTCCTAAATTATATCTTCTTTCTCTCTAGCCGTAACGAAACTACCGCGACTAAAATTTTACTCATTGAGCGCCTAAAGAAGTTTCACTTCAATAAATATCAACACTCTGACAACGAGCAGAAAATATAAAACTAATTCTAAACTATTCTAAAACCTATTTTGTATTTTTTTAATCTGTGAAGACTATTCAGTTAAAATATTATGAACCATTCTCATCGCGATCAATAAAACGTGATTGAACGGAATTATTAGATCATTAGATTACGCTCTGGGTTCGTTAACTGGAAGTTTTATGACACAAAAACCGGTGCTTGTAGCCTTCGACTCATATATAATAAGCGATTAGAACTAGATGTGTCTGTGCATTGAAAGAAAAGTAATGAAAATAAAATAGGCATCACCGCCCTGCCTATTTCTGCCGTGAAGCAGTAATGCGTTTCGGCTTGAAGGGTGGGGCAGCCGTTATAACTATACCTGAGACCTTAGAACTTATTCTCAAGGTGGGTGGCGCATTTACGTTGTAGATGTCTATGGGCTCCAGTAACCACTCAACACCAGTATGGGCTATGAGCTCTTCCACCCATATAAGCAATAAAAAAAATTTAAAAAGTAGCAGTTTTTTTTCCTACCTATTCTGAGAGTCTTGAGAGACTATATCAGCTTCGAGCTAACATGTAGGTGAGCTCGCGGGGCTCAAACCGGAGGTGCTTCGCAGAATTTACTACTAGCCCTTCGTCGCAAGCGACAGTTTCGACAAGGACGGTGACCGGTGCTTGTGGTACCTAAAAGCACCGTTAATGGATCGGGAGGATCCGTAATGACGAGTTTTGGGTGACGATGACTGTTTACCATTCGGTCTACAGGATCGGGTATGTAATTTCCAGCGGCCGCGACAAGAGGGTTCTCATGTCGTGGCGCCTTCTCAAAGAATGATGCCGATTACTGACTGATACCAAGTAGCAGTGTGATGCAGCTTTTGGCATTAAAACTTTCTTAACTAACACGTAAGCTGTACGTACGTAAGTTGTGTTAGTAATCTATACTTCATATTATAAAGCTGAAGAGTTTGTTTGTTTGAACGCGCTAATCTCAGGAACTACTGGTCCGATCTGAAAAATTCTTTCAGTGTTAGATAGCCCATTTGTGAGGAAGACTATAGACTATATAACATCACGCTAAGATCAATACAAGCGGAGTACCAACAAAGAATGTTTCAAAATCGGGGTTATTTTTACTTTTTGACAGCTTCCGCTGCGTGCGCTGCAGAAACGCTTAAAGTTTCGCTAAAATAATGTATGACAGAATTGTTTCCCTTTAAAAGATCTAAAAAAAAGTCCGCGGCAACATATGTCTATATGTTAAGGTTCGCTCACTATAACGTTTTTATGCTAATCAAATTTGTTCTAAACTAAAGCATTATTTGTGAACTATTCCACGCGGGCGAAGTCACGTGCAGAGGCTAGTCTATTTCATAATACAAAGCATTTGTGCACTTCGATTTCAATGATCTGTACTTGTAAACACTATATTCTTTTTCGTAAACAGTAAAGGTTTTACCGGCAGCTTTCCATCCTCCTTCCACCTGATAGGCAGCTGAAGCAGCTCCGAACATGAAGTCTGGAGGAAAACTCAATTCTTCGCACCATGTAGAGTAGATTAAAAAACTGCAATTAAAAAGCATTTTTATGCAAAGAGTACTTTATTAAACACAATATACTAACACTTCCGTGTCTCTATATTTTTGAAATTATTTTGTTTGTAAAAAATAACTGTAAATTGTTTAAAACCACAGGTGAAATTTCGCAACGTAACCGACGCGGCGCGACCAAAATAAATTGTGTTTGCACTGTGCTAAGACAACTCTTATGCAAAAAAGTATACTGTGTATGGCACCGAAAATATATAATAAGCTACCTGATGCTATGAAAAAAGACAAATTATTTTTATTTAAAAAGATTTTGAAAAAATGATTAACCTTAAGATGCTATTTATACAGTTAACGATTTCTTAAATGATAAATCATTATGTTAATTTTATGTTCGCTTCTTTCTGTTCTTTGTTTTCGTTTTATCACTGAAATAACTAATTCTTATTCAATTAATTTATTTGTTGTTTGTTATTTTAATTAATTAATAATGTAAATAATTTTGAATAATATTTGCTCGCCGACCTGGCAGAAACACGCTGTTCTATAAAATAACTATCAAGTATCAACAACTTTGTAAATCGTGTTTTAGCTAATAAAGATTGATTTGATTTGATTTTATTGCTTAGATGGGTGGACGAGCTCACAGCCCACCGGGTGTTAAGTGGTTACTGGAGCCCATAGACATCTGCAATGTAAATGCCGCCACCTTCCTTGAGATATGAGTCCTAAGGTCTCAGTATAGTTACAACGGCTGCCCCGTCCTCCAAACCGAAACGCATTACCGCTTCACGGCAGAAATAGGCGGGGCGGTGGTACCTACCCGTGCGGACTCGCAAGAGGTCCTACCACTAGTCATTACGCAAATTGTAATTTTGCGGATTTTTATTTTTATTACACGATGCTATTTAAAAGAGTAATTTACGAATATCGATATAGCTTAGAAGATTACAATAACCATATCCTCGGACTGACTGGTGCAGTAATTAGCGCTTTTTTTTGCCTATCTATACTGATAGCCTTGAGAAGCTATTTCAGCTTCACCCTAACGTGTAGGTGAGCTCATGGGGCTCAAATCGGAAGTGTTGCTAACACTGGCCCTCTAGCAAGAGCAGTGCTTCGCAGAATCTACCACCGAATCGGAAACGCGACCCACTGAGAAGATCCGGCGAGAAACTCAGTGGGCTGTGTCTGTGGGTGAGTTAGCGCTCCGACTGTTACGCCGAGGGTCGTGGGTTCAATTCCCACAACGCGGAAACATTTGTATGATGATCAGGTTTGTTTGCTCTTTGTTTGGATGTTTATCAATAGTATTTATTCATTTTGTGAGATATCAAACCAATTCCTAAACGCATTCGACATCTGTCATTCGAAAATGTAGCTATTTCGGTCTTTACTTAACATTTCTATTGGTTTTTTTTCCTAATTTTAGTGTTCGGTCAAGTGCGTGTTCATATTAAATAATGCTTATCAATTAATTAATTAATCCATTTTTTTTATTTTTTTTTATTGCCCTTGTGGGCAGACGAGCATACGGCCCACCTGATGGTGAGTGGTTACCGTCGCCCATGGACTTCAGCAATGCCAGGGGCAGAGCCAAGCCGCTGCCTACCGCTTAATACTCTCCACAAGCCTCGTTTGAAGAAGGACATGTCATAGCGCTCGGGAAACACCGTGGAGGGGAGCTCATTCCATAGCCGGATGNGCCACGCGCTTATTCACAAACACTACACAAGCGCAACGTGTGAATGTGTTGAACGCGAGCTACATGGTAGGCGGAGTGAGGGATGTTAGGTTTTTTTCGTTACGGAATTTCATGATTCGGTCGCCGCGCTCAAGGCCCGCGATAAAAGCTATGCAATAGCTTAAAAATGTATGAACTTGTAATAAAATCTCCTTGGCTATACTATAGGTTTTGGTATCATTAAAAGTTTAAGTTCGAAAGAAGATAATTCCAAATTAAAATTAGGAAGATGTGTGATTTTATTTATTTTTCGTACTGTCAAGATGAGTGAATCTAATGAAGATATTCGATACATTTTAAAATTTTACTACAAAAAAGGTAAAAAAGCAACGCCAGCCGTGAAAAAATATTGCGATGTTTATGGACNTTTTTTATTGCCCTTGTGGGCAGACGAGCATACGGCCCACCTGATGGTGAGTGGTTACCGTCGCCCATGGACTTCAGCAATGCCAGGGGCAGAGCCAAGCCGCTGCCTACCGCTTAATACTCTCCACAAGCCTCGTTTGAAGAAGGACATGTCATAGCGCTCGGGAAACACCGTGGAGGGGAGCTCATTCCATAGCCGGATGGTACGTGCCAAAAAAGACCTCTGGAAACGCACTGTGGACGACCGCAGTGGCTCCAGGTAGTATGGATGAACTCTACTCCGGTGGCGGGCGGTGCGATGGTAAAAACGAGATGCCGGTATCATCTCGAACAATTCCTCAGAGCACTCCCATATATGAAACATTTAAATATTTATAAGTATGTTTATATACCCATAAAACAGGTAATCCTTAATTGGGGCCGTGCGTAATTTGTTACCAGTTTAATTATATCCCATCTTATTTTGACTGCAAAGCTGAGACGTAATTTGGTAAAGTAGATGTATGTAATTAGGTAAAATAGGAGGAATTTATAAATAAAATAATCAGAGGTTTGTTCATCTTTATGGGGGACGAAGCATCAGGTAAAATAAAGAAGGCTGAACCCACCATCATAGAGAGAGAGAGAAAGAGAAGCAGACCAACCATCGTACTTCTGAGGACTCCAATCAAACTTCATCAACAGAAGGACATGTCCAATGTCCTATGTCCAATGCCCAATGTCCAATGTCCAATGTCCAATGTCCATGTCCATTCAGGAAACAATGTAGAGCCCCGTCCACGCATTTGATCCCAGAGCTGGAAGGTTTCAAGAACCTTTACTAATCACTATTCAACAAGCCAATCGACCGCTTGATCTGACCATCAGAGTAGAATCATGATTAAAGGTGATTAACCCAATAAATTTTCCTGAGCAATTATTTTTCGCATTGATATAATTTTAATCAGTCAAGCATAACAGGATCATTTACATAATTACACAGCTAATGTTTTCCGATATTCTGATGTCGTGCTTCTTGTGATTCTTGCAGATATTAAAAATGCAGTTTTACATAATATGCCCTTTTGCGGATTTTGGTATATTTCGGGTACAAGGCGCGCTGAAACTTTGAGAACCTGGAATGACTCGAGATTACCGGCAAAATAGAAGGCAAAAGGCCGAAATCTACAGCGGTAGTCAGACTAGGTTACTCAGCAGCTGCAAATGGCGTAGATAGATGATCTCCAAACGATAAAAGATAGGAACAGGTGGAGAGAAATAGTGAGAAGATTACAGAAGAGTTTCGACAATGAATGGACGACTGAGAAGAGATAAAGAGAATAATACAGTTTGACGCTCTGATTTCGATGAGTACCGAAAACCAACCACCCTTGGGATAGACCGTGGGGTCTCACCTACACCAAGATAACACTGTAATACCAGTACCAGTAACGCCATCTGTCGTCAAATAGCGAAAACGGATATCGGAAAATTTTAGATACGTTGTATGGACTGCAAGAGCTTTGCAAAGATGAAATAAATGCAATTAGCTAGGAGCGAAACAATAAAGAGATCGCCTGAAGCTAAGCGAAAAAAGTATATTGTCGTAATAAATATTTAAATACAGTTTAAATTTGTATTTCGGTGAGCGTCATTATTTATCCTGAGCCCCAGCGCGTGAGTACTTTACCTTGCCTTATACCAGGGATCCTTAGGAGCAGACTTAGGGACCCTGGTAACCGTACTCGTCGAACTCGGCAAAAAGTTCGACGTGCAACTTAATCCATGCATCAGCCCGCTGAGTTCCTCACCGGGTCTTTTCAGCGGGTCGCGATTCCGATCCGGTAGTATTCATTCGCGAAGCAGCTGCTTTTGAGTTGTTAGGTCTCCTTCGGAGGCGCTCGGGCAGCTGTTAGCAAATCCCGCCCCTCCTGGCTGAGCCTTTGCTCGCCCAGCTGTCCTGGTGAAACTGGAAAGGCCTCCGGGCCACCAGTAATCCTTCAATGAACTAGTCGAAACTTATCAAGTTCCGGTCAATTAAACTTTTTGTCGGAGCCTGACAGGTTTGCATTTAGTACCGTGTAATCATTTTGCTTGAACGTAGCTCACCGATTTATAAATTACTTCATTCTCTCTGTCCCGATTACTAAAATTGTAAGCAAACCTTCGTTCTTTGATCTATATTTATAAAGTTAAGTATATAAGTTTTCCGGTTTACCTGAAAACTAGCGACCCGCCCTCGCTTCGCTTCGGAAACTGTAATTTATTATTGATTGCTCCACTATTTAATGGGTGTTATTATACATATAAACCTTCCTCTTCAATTACTCTATCAATTAAAAAAACCGCATCAAAATCCGTTGCGTAGTTTTAAATATTTAAGCATACATAAGGATATAGGGTCAGAGAAAGCGACTTTGTTTTATAATATGTAGTGATATAAATTATTATATGCATATGATGTATTGATATGTATGTATGTATGATATGACTATGTAGTGATAACAAGTTATTTAAAATATGTTTTGATAGACACAGAAAATGCATCGGGAAACAAACACATTCGAACGGAGTTCTACCAGAGTGAAACAACAAAATTATGCTCACGTTTCAAAGCGGAACCATCGTCTATGTTGTGACGTACATAAATACATTTTATAATTGAAGCGGCTTGATCTAAAATTCTTGTTGTTTTTTGTAAGCCCACGAAATGTCACTGGTGGTAGGACCTATTGTGAGTCCACACGGGTAGGTACCACCGCCCTGCCTATTTCTGCCGTGAAGCGTTTCGGTTTGAATAGTGGGGCAGCCGTTGTAACTGTACTTGAGACCTTATATAACATTGAGAACTTCTATCTCAAGGTGGGTGGCGCATTTACGTTGTAGATGTCTATGGGCTCCAGTAACCACTTTACACCAGGTGGGCTGTGAGCTCGTCCACTCGTCTAAGCAATAAAAAAAATGTTATTAATGAATTATTATTGTTATTTTTTCCATTTTAATACCATATAGTATGTATATGCGCTTGATTTAAAAGATATGGAAAGCATACCTGCGTTTGGCTTTTTTCGGGCTAAAATACACTGTTTAATATTTCTATAAACTGAGATAATGTAATACATGCTTATAAGTCGTTCGAAGTACAAAACCCGTTTTCTTAAAAATTTTAATTAAGCCATTTCAATGAAGTGCTTCCGTGATAAATTTACATAGAAAATATATAACAAAAGCTAGTTTATTTTTTTATTTCTCCAGTCCGAATAGAGATTAATCGAACTTCGCCACGTTCTGTTCGCAGATTTATCCTCAAAGCCAGTTCGGACAATCAATGCTTATTCTTGACTCTCTTAAAATAAATACATCTTTGTGTCAACACAATATTGAGACTTTAGAACTATATCTCAAGGTGTGTGGCGCATTTACGTTGTAGATGTCTATGGGCTCAAGTAACCACTTAACACCAGGTGGGCTGTGAGCTCGTCCGACTATTTAAGCAATAAAAAAAGGCAGCGGCTTGGCTCTGCACTTGGGATAATCAACTTGGCAAATTGGTAACCACTTGCCGTCGGTTGAGCCGTATGTTCATCTGTCGACAACGGCAATATAAAAAGCTATTCCAAGCAGCAAACAACAGACTCTTCAAGCCGGAACGCATGCCTCGCGATAGAAAGACATTGACCCGTACTAAAGCTAACCCACAATTTGATCTGTTAAACTCACCTCTGCGCCAAATCTATACTAATATTATAAAGCTGAAGAGTTTGTTTGTTTGAACGCGCTTATCTCAGGAACTACTGGTCCTATTTGAAAAATTCTTTCAGTGTTCGATAACCCATTTACTGAGGAAGGCTACAGGCTATATAACATCACGGTAAGACCCATACTAGTGTAGCACCAATAAAGAATGTTTCAAAATATGGGCTTAAATAGCTCCTTAACAAATTTTTTTTGATAATGACAATATAATTCAAAAATTATATTTCTACGTAACGTCACTACGTAAATGAAGTGGGGGTAAAATTCAGCGTCGCGGGCAAAAGCTAGTAAAACATATTTATTTTGCCATTTAAAAAAGTATAAAAATATAGGAAACTTTAAACTGACCTTAACACGACCGCTCGTAAAGACAACATAATAGTGACTAACAGAACCGTTGAGAAGATAAAGCAAAACCTAGCATTGCTTCAACTTCTACTACTTGATATCCTAACTTTGTTTAGAGAATTTTATTATAAACTAGCTGACCCGGCAAACGTTGTCTTGCCATATAATATAAGATTTCTAGAGAATTTCTAGTGTAGAAAAAAAATTACTAACTTATTGGAAGTGTATAAGGATGAACGATGAGGGAATGTTGTTTAAAAATAACAAAGCACCAAACATTTATAAAAATTTTTTTATCAAAAAAGTAAAAAAAAAAATTCGGTGTGAACACCCCTAATCACTTAGGGGTATGAAAAATAGATAGTAGCCGATTCTCAGGCTTACTGAATATGCATAAAAAATTTCATGAGAATCGGTCAAGCGGTTTCGGAGGAGTATGGGAACGAACATTGTGACACGAGAATTTTATATATTAGATAATCTGTCGAGAAAATATCGGGAAAAGATCCGTAATACGCAAAATGTTTAGTTATTAGTTATTGTTTTAAATTTATTTTATGACCTTCAGAAACTATACACTTACGCCAGCAAATAATTCAATCATCAAACCATTTTTAAGCGCTTTTTTCGGAGTCGAGCTCAGTTTTTGTCGCGAATTCTTCTTTATATCTTTTATCAAATGAAAACGGGTAACATAAAGTGACAATTTGACTCTAGGAAAAAGAAAGAAGTCGGCTGGCGTCATATCTGGTGAATAAGGTCATTGCTCGATGGTAATTGTTTAGTTTTTGCTCAAACATTGATTGTTTTAAGGCACTATGTCGTGGTGCAAAATCAAAAAAAAATCTTTCCACAATATCTACTGACCTTTTTCGTCGAATTTGCTATCTTGAACGCCGTGTAACTCTCAAATAACTTCTAACATTGACTTAACTTAATTTCTTTGACTTTCCAACAAGAAGTCCAAGAGCATATCATCGCGATAGTCAAAGAAAATAATCAACATGACTTTGATTTTTGATCGATTTTAGCCTGTTTTTTTGGTTATTTTCAGTTTTGTACCACGCTGCCTATTTTTGCGTACTACCACCCTGCTTATTTGTGCCGTGAAGCAGTAATGCGTTTCGGTTTGAAGCAGCCGTTGTAACTATAGGTACTTGAGACCTTAGAACTTGTATCTCAAGGTGGGTGGCGCATTTACGCTGGGATGTCTATGGGCTCCAGTAACCACTTAACACCAGATGGACTGTGAGCTCATCCACTCATCTCAGCAACAAGAAAAAAAAAGTTAGAAGGCAGAACTCCGAAATCTGTTGACTAGTTTGCACGTCAAACTCGTAAACAGGGACTCCTGTTAACTCGAAGACCTTTCCAGCTTTATCAGAGGGGCGAACAGGTACTCATCTAGGATGGGTGGGATTTGCAACTGCAATTTCGTAGAAGAGCTAACAATTTAAGGGTAAAACTGCTGTAGGATCGCAGCCCACTGAGTTTCCCGCCGGATCTTCTCAGTGGGTCACAATCCGATCCGGTGGTAGATTTAGCGAAGCACTGCTCTTGCTAGGGCAGATATTAGCAAGCTTCTCCCAGGCTTAGAACTTTGGAGGCAGTTGCTTTTCTTTCAAAAACAAAAAAGGGCACATTGCTGGTCGCTTCAATTTTTTTTTGCTATGGACGAAGAACTTCTACTTCATCTACTTCTTCTTCTTTGTCGTTTCCTCATTACCGAGGATCGTGACCACCTTGGTCCAGTTTTTGCACCAGCTTCCTCCAATGTTGCCTGCATTCGGCCTGCTTAATGGCGCCCGGGATGCTGGTGTTTGTGGCCTCCTTGACAATATCCGTCCACCTGGTTGGCAATCTTCCTCGACTTCTCCGTGACCTTCTACGTGACCTACAACTATTAATTGTTCCAAGTTCTCAGGATTTTGTTCGGTATCCGAAGTACTTAAGAAGACGCTGCATATAGATCGTAGATAGACGGGTCTTGGCGTTTAGCTCCGAGAGAATTGACGCATTTGTTCGGCGCTAATTTCAACTAGTTACTTTGAAAATACGAAGCAATCGAAATTTCAAACGTCAATCCAATACGAAGTCTTGTAATTTGATTTCGTAGTCATTGATATAATTGATGCCTTGAGTGGCAGGTACATGGTCAAAACGTAAAGGTCACGACGAATAGTAGTTTTTTGTTCGAGCAGTCGTCAGCCAAACATACAGAAACTAGTCGTCTAAATATCTATATATTAATACGTGAAGCGTAAAATTTTCCACACTTATAGAGAATATAGAGAAGAAGTGCACAATGCTAATATGTTTTTAAAATAATGCATAAAAGATACATTAAATCAATAAAGAAAACATAAAACACACTACATACCATGTATTTGACGCACACACGCATGCATACTATTTATTGTCAAACTTTTGTCCTTGACGTCTGTGGTCAAATTGAGAATAGATTAAATATTGTTTGTCTTTACTTGGCGAAATTTGTGATTATAGAAGTATAAAATACAATCATAATAGTGTACAAATTTACAATTCCAATTAATTATAGTCGAATTTCGACTACTGCGGGACCTCTAGCATATTTAATTGTAGTAAGTAGAAAATTTTGATGCATTTTTTTAGCGGATCTTAAAAAAAAAGAGGAAACAATTAATTCTATTGTATTTTTATGTGTGTATGTTGTTACCTCGAAACTTTTTTCTAAGTGGATCGATTTTGCTGTTTATTTTGTACGACCCGTTCGCGTTTCGCTTCTTTTTTAAGCTGAGAGCCTTGAGGGGCTATTTCAGCGTAACCTTAACTAGTAGGTGAGCTCACGGGGCTCAAACCTGACGACGTTGCTAACATGAACCCTAGCAAGAGCCGTGCTTCGCAGAATCTACCACCGGATCGGAAACGCGACCCACTGAGAAGATCCGGCGAGAAACTCAGTGGGCTGTGTCTTCGCTTCGGGAACTGGAATATATTATTGATCTTAATGAATTTTCTATCTTCATCTTTCGTTATAGCGCGGACTCCATTGCTTATAGTCATAACTAATCAAATATTTGTCCAAACGATGTAGTGTAAAGACAAAGTTTGTAATTACCAGATGCGATAAAAATATTTATTTTCATAATATAAATAAGGATCAATTTCTGACTCCCAAATGCTCGTCTATAAATTATCAATTTTTATTGCATTTTTGGCTCACTATCCTATATGCTGTCGCGCAATTTTTTGTAGAACTATTTAAAATAAACATTTCCATAATCTATATATTAATACATGAAGCAAAAACTTTGTATCCCTTTTTACGAAAATTGCGCGGACGGAGGAGTATGAAATTTTGTACAATTACAGAGAATATAGAGAAGAAGTGCACATTGCTAATATTTTTAAAAAATAATGCATAAAAGATACATTAAATCAATAAAGAAAGCATTACACACACTAGATACCATGTATTTGACGCACACACGCATGCATACTATTTATTGTCAAACTTTTGTTCTTGACGTCTGTGGTCAAATTGAGAATAGATTAAATATTGTTTGTCTTTATTAATATTTTTTATAGTGTAGCCTTGGCGAAATTAGTGATTATAGAAGTATAAAATACAATCATAATAGTGTACACACTTACAATTCCAATTAATTATAGTCGAATTTTGACTACTGCGGGATCTTTAGTACATAAAATATTATACGTGTAACTCCAACGGTAGATTTTTTTCCTACTTACTTGACACTTATCGTTATATTTTGGGTAATTCGCACTATTTCTTTATAAATTATAGCCTGTGTTAATTAGATGTGTACGCTATATCATTGTAAAGTTTTATCAAACTCAATCCAGTAGTTTTTCCGTGAAAGAATAACAAACATTCATCTATACATTCTTAGAAACTTTCATATTTTTAATATTTAGTAGGATATATAGGCTCCCATTTATTTAACTACGTCTACATTGAAGATATTTCTATTTCCGACTAGCTGACCCGGCAGACTTCGTAGTGCCTCAATCGATAAATAAATGACTTAAACTTTAGTATAAAATAAACTTAAAACAGACAAAATTCATATTTATCTACCTTTTAAACCTTCTCTGGACTTCCACAAATAATTCAAGACCAAAATTAGCGAAATCGGTCCAGCCGTTCTCGAGTTTAAGCGAGACTAACGAACAGCAGCAGTTTTGAAGTCGTCGTGGCCTAAAGGATAAGACGTCCGGTGCATTCGTTGTTGCTATGCACCGGTGTTCGAATCCCGCAGACGGGTACCAATTATTCTAATGAAATACGTACTTAACAAATGTTCACGATTGACTACCACGGTGAAGGAATAACATCGTGTAATAAAAGTCAAACCCGCAAAATTATAATTTGCGTAATCACTGGTAGTAGGACCTCTTGTGAGTCCGCGCGGGTGGGTACCACCATTCTGGCTATTACTGCCGTGAAGCAGTAATGCGTTTCGGTTTGAAGGGTGGGGTAGCCGTTGTAACTATACTGAGACCTTAGAACTTATATCTCAAGATGGGTGGCGCATTTACGTTGTAGATGTCTATGGGCTCCAGTAACCACTTAACACCAGGTGAGCTGTGAGCTCGTCCACCCATCTAAGCAATAAATAAATAAAAAAAACAGCAATTCATTTTTATCTATATATAGATTTGTTAATGAAACGATAAGGATTTGTTTTTATTATGGATTGCGTTCTGACCTACCATTCCTCGCGTAGTTGGAATGACTCTTTAGGCTACAACCGATTAGATATAGAGAAATATCACAAAGACTGGTTAGTAAGTATGACACAAAAGCCGTCCTTACCACTCGCCAGAAAATCTCACGGAACTGTCGTTCACCGAAGAAGGGCTTAATAATAGAGATCCCTGGTACTTTTAAAAAAAAATGCTTAAGTGGGTGGACGAGCTCACGGCCCACCTGATGTTAAGTGATTACCGGAACTCATAGACATCTACAACGTAATGCCGACACCTGCCTTGAGATATGAGTTTTAAGATCTCCGTATAGTTACAACAGCTGTCCCACCCTTCAAATCGAAACGCGTTACTGCTTCACGGCAGAAATAGGCGGAGCGGTAGTACCTACCCGTGCGGACTCACAAAAGGTCCTACCACCAGTAATTACGCAAATTATAATTTCGAGGGTTTAATTTTTATTACACGATGTTATTCTTAGTATAAACTAAGAATCGAGGTAAAAACTCATAAAATAATTGCATTTATAAATAGAATAATAGATTTTATGACGTCACCAACAAAAGTTCTCATAACTAATTATTATTAATGGTGTTTTTTTTACTTTTTTACAACCAAAATGACTACAACAATAGGACATAAATATTGTTTTTGGCAATGATATATAGTTAATATTATCGTATATAAGATTTTTTAAGTGCTTGTGGTTTGTTATTTGTATTCTCGGGATATTATGCTCCGAACACATAAAAGTCAAACACACCAATTCAACAATATAATAATATAAGATGTGTACAATGTTCTATTATAAAGTAAAAAGAGTAAACAAGTCGCTAGGCACTACAAGACACTAATTAAAACTAAAACTAGAGGTCCCGTAGTAGTCGAAATTCGACTATAATTAATTGGAATTGTAAGTTTGTACACTATTATGATTGTATTTTATACTTCTATAATTACAAATTTCGCCAATACTACACACTATAAATAATATTAACAAAGACGAACAATATTTAATCTCAATTTGACAACAGACGTCAAGAACAAAAGTTTGACAATAAATAGTATGCATGCGTGTGTGCGTCAAATACATGATATGTAGTGTGTGTAAAGTAAGTTACAATGGCTACCCCATCCTTCAAACCGAAATGCACTACTGCTTCACGACAGAAATAGGCTATAGTTAACTATAGTTATTTTTTATTAAGCAATTGAAAATGTTATCGTTATTCAAGACATCATCAGTGGTATGTTAACCCATAGACACAGCCCACTGAGTTTCTCTCCGGATCTTCTCAGTGGGTCGCGTTTCCGATCCGGTGGTAGATTCTGCGAAGCACTGTTCTTGCTAGGGCTAGTGTTACCAACACTCCGGTTTGAGCCCCGTGAGCTCACCCCGTAAAACACATGTTAAGGCGAAGTTAAAATAGCCTCTCAAGGCTTTCAGCAACGGTAGGGAAAAAAAAGTGGCATACAAAAAACATAGGGCGCTCACAAGTTATTAGACCAGTGTAGAAGCCTTTAAAAATAATAAAAAGTAAAAAAATATAGTAGGATGAAATCCATTAGAAAAGAAGGAAAATATTATTAAAATGAAAGGAAAAATAATTTACGGGCGATCTGAGGTCGGGAAGGGGATGGGGGTGAGGTTTTACGGGTAAAAAAAGGTTTTTCTCGATTTCCGGCAAACTAAAAGTCCTATGGAAAAAGGTCAAGTCATATTTCTAATCAGCGTATTTGGGACATAAAAAGGTAAGTTTTTACCAAAATTCGTGAAACAATTTTTTTTTAAAAAGATAAAAAAAAAAACCAAAAAGTTGGTTTTTTGAATTTTTCACATAATGAGCTTATGTGAAAAAAGTGTAAACACAAAAGTTTTATATCTTTTTATTACCTATAAATTTGCCATTTGACTTTTTTCCATAGAACTTTTAGTTTTTCCGGAAATCGAGAAAGACCGTTTTTTACCCTTAAAAACTCACCCCCATCCCCTTCCCGACCTCAGATCACCCGTAAATATTTTTCCTTTCATTTTTATAATATTCCCCTCCTTTTCTAATAGGTTTCATCCTACTATTATTTTTTTTGGTTTTAAAAATGATCGACCCTGGTCTTCACATCAATTTTAGCGGTGAGAAATATTTCGAAATTAAAATAAATTATAATTTTAAAGACATTAGTAACGTTTTCAACAGCTGAAATTAGTTGTATTTAGGAACGGTAGGACCGCTGTTCAAATCCTATACGTATTTTTCAATAGCGATACGAATACTTTTCCAATAGTCTTCCGTTCTCGCCTCTCAGTAGGTACTAAGATACCACAAAATACTGTTACGCGCTGGGGTTCAGGATAAATAAAAATTCTACCGACGTACTAATTAAAACTATATTAGCACATAGAACACTCACAGAACACTTTAAAAAAATTTAATTCACTTCTTCCGCTTCGCTTCAGGTGATCCGTTCGCTGTTTCGCTTCGAGCAGTTTCGATTACTAACTAACTCATGCCATCTCGGAAACGCTTTTATAGTCGATACGACATCCCTATATTTATCGAGAGCATTCCTCACAAGTCGAGTATTTTCGATGCGTGTTTCCGCTAGCTGACAATAGATGGCGTTGTACTTCTCGGTTGTTTATTACTAGATACTTTGACATTTGTTTCGGCTATTCGACGATAGATGACGTTACTCTTACGGGCGTAACAATACTATCGCCACCAAACCTACAAAAACAAGCAACCGTAACACCATTAAATTTTTTGAAGTGAAACTTCTTTAGGCGCATGAGGGTAAAATTTTTACAGATGTAACGTCACGCAGGTATGCAACGGAAGTGACGAAAACGAGAGAGAGAGCGATCGAGACCGATTGAGAGAGAGTAAGACAGGGCGAACGTAGCATTAAGCAACTAGCCATGGAGTGAGAGTAGGGACCAAGCAAGTGAGGAGGATCGAGAGAAAAAGTGAGACAGAATGCTCCTACATACTTTAAACATACGTATAAAGTATTTTATTTTTAATACAGCGCCATCTGTGAGATGTTTTAATACTAACGTGTGTATGAAACCTCTTGTAGTGAATTTTAATTTAGGATATACGTGAAGTTAAAATATCAAGTCACAGAGGGCGCTACCTCATACTATAAAAGGTGATTTACAATTATTTACTAATGACAAAATTTTACTAACAATATACTTAGACATTTAGGATAATTGTATTTTAATTTTGGAAGGTTTCACTTCTAACACGTGTGAATTGCACACATGTTTTTTTTTTTTTTTATAGAAATCGTCAAAAGGGATCTAAATTAAAACGACAATTCAGACAGACAGACAGATTTTTAATAACACAATAGACTCACATAACTCAATAAGCTAATCATAAATTTGATCACGTCAAACTAAGCACCTGTTTCATCGAATTACGTTAAATATGGTTTATCATTTTGTATGATCTGTGACTGATGTTCTAACGCTAAATGACGTCACACGTGATGTTTTCTAAAGTTCTAAATCAGCATTTCCTTAACTACGTTATTGATTAAACATATAAAAGCAAAACATCACATTCACATGAAGACCAGAATTCACAATAATATAAAAGACGAAGCATTTACTTAAATAACGCTTAATGAATTAAAAGATCTACTTAGAATGAAGCAACTTAATAGAATAAGTACCGTTTGCATGTTATTGACTGGCGAAACGGACGATTTGAAGGCAGCCTGGAAAAAAAGATGATTTTAACTTAGACGATTAAATGATAGTGTTTAACTAACGTCATCACAATCGATGACGATTTTAAATGTAACCGCTGGTTTATTTATCTGTCACTAGTTATATATGTGTGTGTATCAAATACATGGTAGTGTGTGTAATGTTATTTTTATTGATTTAATGTATTATCTATATATATAAAAATCAATTGCTGTTCGTTAGTCTCGCTAAAGCTCGAGAACGGCTGGACCGATTTGGCTAACTTTGGTCTTGAATTATTTGTGGAAGCCCAGAGAAAGTTTAAAAGGTAGATAAATAAGAAAATGCTCGGAGTTAAATAAAAATAACAATTTTCTTTTCCCTTTGATGTGTACCCCGTCAGACGGATTCCTTTTGTTTCTTTTAAGTTTATTTTATACAAAAGTTTAGGTCTTTTATTTATCGATTGATGCACTACGAAGTCTGCCGGGTCAGCTAGTTAATGTTTTTTTTTTTTTTAATATTAACATTCTGCACTCTTTCTCTGTATTCTCTAGGTATAAGTGTGGGAAATTTCATGCACCTCCGTCCGCGCAATTTTCGTAAAAAGGGGTTCAAAGTTTTTGCTTCACGTATTATTATACCTATATAGATATATCTAAAGCAATGCTTCCCAAACTTATTTCTTTCCGTACCCCTTAACAAAACTTTTCATTAACGAGGAGCCCTCCCCTGATGATAGGTACTTCTAAAAATATGTCTCGTTTCTCTTAAAGTCTAGTCGGTTTGTTTTCAGTAAGGTTCAGGTTGTAAGGCTAATTTTAAACTACACATTGTAGACAATAACCTTTCAGAATGTTTATATAAGTTGAGCGTTAGTAAGTTAACCAATATAATTTTCATCGCTAACGGGATCCCGTGTTTCCCCGTCATAAGGCGTCCTCGGGAGGAGCTGCACGTTTAGTTGAAGTGTTACCCGCTGGGAGCCCTGCCTCCCCTGAACCGATTTCCATCTCGAGTCGAGATATGATGTCGGGAAAGATAGGGTGATTGATGGGATTTAGCCGGTCGTCGTCTTAGAGTCCGACTTTTTTTATTTATTGCTTACATGGATGGACGAGCTCACAGCCCACCTGGTGGTTACTGGAGCCCATAGACATCTACAACGTAAATGCGCCACCCATCTCGAGATATAAGTTCTAAGGTCTCAGTATAGTTACAACGGCTGCCCCACCCTTCAAACCGAAACGCATTACTGCTTCAAGACTGAAATAGGCAGAGTGGTGGTACCTACCCGTGCGGACTCACGAGAGGTCCTACCACCAGTAAAGTTGGGCCTACATAGCTTGCCCTGATCCCCATCGGCCGGGTGTTCGTAAATTGGATTTCTCAAAGTTAAAAAGTGACATGTGTACAGGTTGGGTATCGCTGGTTGAGATGTACTCAAAAGTCCTCATAGCCTCAAGTGGAACTCTTCGTGTTGACGTCATGTACATCTTACCTTACTCGGTATAGGAACGTCAAGTGAATGTGCCCTGATGATGCTCGAGTAGTAGTGAGCTGATGCTTTTGGCGTCCGCGTTCGTTTTGGAGAAGAAAAATCCACGTCGTAAAGACCGAATTTTGCCCTAAAATTTAAGCATTTTTTTACGTCTATCCACAACCTGCCTACACAGATTATTGCGGTATTTTGGTCATGTTGCACGCAGGGACACCAGCAATTTGGAACGCCTTGTGGTGCCCGGTAATATCGAGGGGAAAAGGCCTAGGGGTAGAGGTCCCAAACGACGGGCGGACCAAATAGCGGAAGAACTGAGGGTATCTGTGAGCGACACACTCCACCAAGCTGCAAAACGGGATCGATGGAGACAGTTGGTTGACGGAATCGGACGCAATCACGATCCTCAGCAATGAGGGACCCATCGAAGAGAGAGAGAGAGTGGTTTAATTCCATTACCCATTCTTCTCTTAGCTGGACAAGAAAAGCCGAGGGAGAGAAATTGGAAAGGCCCACATCCAGCAGTGGACTGCTTTAAGCTGATAATGATGATGATGATACTATGGCGATGATATTGGCGTAGCTTTAAAACTAAAGCAAACATTATTATGTGATCTGTTGAAATGAAAGCATAAAAATATTCTTCAATACATATCGACGCTTGAAGGGCAAACGTGACTAAGCGACAATAACTGCTACATACATGATAGACAATAGGCAATAACCATATTCGATGCGCAAAAAAATATATATTTCTAGGTCTATTAAAATCATTTCAATCCTACAGCTAGATTCGTTAAAATATAACTTTTTTCAGGTATTTCAACTTTAAATTAGTCTACTGTAAAGTTCACGCATTGTCGCTTAGTCAGGTTTGTCTTTCAAGCGTCGATATATTCCTTCCTATAACACGATATTTTATAACATGGTTCCACTCAAAAAAAAACACAAGTTAAAAAGAAAAAAATCTCAAAACCCTTTTTATAGCACGGTACTTCGACAACACGGTTTCATTCAGAAAAATTACTCTCCTTTTTGTATTGTCTTCTAGTCTCATATAACACGACTTCGCACAACACGGTACTGTGTAGGAACGTATCTACCATGTCATAGGAAGGCTATAAGTTTTTTTTTGTTTTTTTTATAGCTGTGATGGGTGGACGAGCTCACAGCCCACCTGGTGTTAAGTGGTTATTGGAGCCCATAGACATCTACATCGTAAATGCGCCACCCACCTTGAGATATAAGTTCTAAGATCTCAGTATAGTTACAATGTCTGTCCCACCCTTCAAACCGAAACGCATTACTGCTTCACGGCAGGAGTAGGCGGGATGGTGGTACCTACCCGTGCGGACTCAAGAGGTCCTACCACCAGTAGTGTATCAGTAGAAGCTAACTTACGCGTACTGGTATGTCAAATTAACTACCAAAAACCTCTCCTGAAGTTCTAGATCCAAGCTTCCATAGTGACAGTTCCATAGACAGTTTTTCTCGATAAATGGGTCCAAGTGTTATTGGAACTCGTTTGTATGGGAAATAGACTTTTCGCAACTTCATCTAGTTGGTAACATTAATGGAAGACAGCGGCTTGGCTCTGTTCCTGGCATTGCTCACGCTGATAAGCAACGGTAATCACTCACCATCAAGTTGGCCGTATGCCCGTCTGCCTACAAAGGCCATAAAAAACGACATCCCAAGTACAACCCAAGAGAAAGACCCAAACTACACCGTACAGTGCATTCACGCTGCAGCCTTACAAGCTGTTATCTCTTAATACATGCAAGTACTCACTGATATCCCTCCGACCATTCAAAGTTATCCATCATTGTCCACGCAGTGTAACCGGTCACGTTGATTCCATCCTCTTTAATAGCGAGTAGTATCTGCGAAAGCGAAGTTAACATTTCACATGTAGTCGGAGCTTAATGCGGTCCGCCGTATCTCCCTTGCGGTAGGCTAAGAAAGACCTAGTCTTCTCAGTCCGGCAGAGGCCGTAACTTCAATTTCATTAGTGTTGGAAAGAGATGAATGAGATAATGATGAGCTCACAGCTCACCTGGTATTAAGTGTTTACTACAACGTAAATGCGCCACCCACCTTGAGATATAAGTTCTAAGGTCTCAGTATAGTTACAACGCCTGCCCCACCCTTCAAACCGAAACGCATTACTGCTTCACGGTAGAAATAAACAGGACGGTGATACCTACCCGTGCGGACTCAAGAGGGCCTACCACCAGTAATTACGCAAATTATAATTTTGCGGGTTTGATTTTTATTACACGATGTTATTCCTTCACCGTGGAAGTCAATCATGAACATTGGTTAAGTACGTATTTCCGTAAGTACACCGGCAACCGGGTGACAGAGCTCACGGCCTATCTGATGTTAAGACCATACACCTTAAGACAAGAGAGCGAAGACTCAAATTACATTGTACAACAGCCGTTACACTCTTCAATCCGGAACGCATGATTTCTTCACGGCAGAAATAGGTAGAGTTGTCGTACTTACCCTTGCGGTCTTATAACGTTACCAGCAAAAAAAAAACTACGGGAATATGAGCTTCTGTAAACATGCCTGTTCCAAGTGTTGTTTGTAGTACATTATCCTATTTATATCATGGAATCCTGGTTTATCGGGATATCCATTTTCCGTGACAATGAATTTTAATGCACCATATTTATTCGATAGCCATTGCAGCTGACGTCTTAAGCCTTCGGGATACACCTGGATAATGTAATGTTGAATTATAGTTGGATTCTCATTCCTAGAGTTTAGAATTAGCGAAATATCTTAACTCTCTAAGGATACCGCACCGTCTCCTTGGAGACGTCTCCACGTTCCGGCCTTAGTTTCATTGAGGTTTCGTCTAAGGCAAAGATTCGAGCGTGAGGGCAGAGGAGTCCTTTGGTCGTCATTCGAAAAGACCATCATCAACCGTTGCCTTTACCCTTTACCATCTTCGGAAACGGAGACCCATATATCCCGCACACCCCCCAGGCTCAGAAACTTCGCAGGAGTTTCGGTACTAAGCCCGAAAATAAAATTAGGATAAGAATATAATACAATTAGGACTTAGACCTCATGTACAAAGATACCATTAGGTTGTCTAGGAGCTCCAGTAGCCACTTCGCATTAAGTGGGCCGTTATCTCCTGAGATAACGGCTTGCATCGAGCCATGAAATATTATTTTGTACAATCAATGTGTTATAAGGGACATCACATACCGCAAACCAATAAGATTCACCAAGTTTCCACTTTGGGTCCATAATCAGCTTGGCATTCAAAACTGGTGCATCTTGCATAGGCCAAGGACCTAAATTCTCACCGGGCTCAGCTTTCCGTACTAGTCTACTGGTGTAGTAATTAACTGCGAAGAAATCATAGGTGCCTGCAAAATAAAAGCTTCAATCTAGCTATCTGAAGGGCCTATTCCGTACGAGTTGCAAATTTGATCAAAAATCGTTAATTCCAGTTCCAAGGATACCATTTCGTGGAAACGTAAAAAAGTATTGTCACAATCTTTCTTTCCAAATCAATATAGCTAATAATTGCAGAGATGCTGATGGTATCCAAAAATAAAGACGAGAAAAGTAAGTATAAGAACAATGAAAAACTCTGACAGCACCATGGTAATTTAAAGAGGTCTGCATTCATCCAGAAGATTATGCTATTCACGGTGCTTTTTGGTGTAGTTGGGAAAGTGACCAGACCATCGTCCTTCTGTCAAGAGTCACCAGTGCCAGTAAAAACATATAAACGTAATGCGTTTCGGTTTGAAGGGTGGGGCAGCTGTTGTAACTATACTGAGACCTTAGAACTTATATGTATCTCAAGGTGGGTGGCGCATTTACGTTGTAGATGTCTATGGGCTCCAGTAACCACTTAACATCAGGTGGTCTGTGAGCTCGTCCACCCATCTTAGCAATAAAAAAGAAAAAAAAACACCTGTAAAATATGAACAGCAATATATACCTATATAAGTCCATAGATAAATACACTTAATATTTAACTCAAGTTGTGCACTAGGCGCTTTATCCATTAGGCCAAATGGTGGCCGCAATCAAACCACTCAGCATATTTAGTTTATCGAAGCAGACGATCGCAAATAATTGACCTGACAAATAGATTCGGGCTATATCACTTCAATAGTAGCAATATGAATACTATTAATGAACATTACCTTTAATTAGTTCAATCTCGTTTTTTGTTAACTGCGGCAAGTTCGATCTCTGATACCCTTGTTTTTCGCTGCTCTCTTTCAAAACTTGAAGAATTCCTGGTGGAAAGCCACCTTCTTTTGAGTAAATTGGATGCGTGTAACGACCGTTCTGATAAAAGGAAGAAATCATTGAATTTAGTAGGCTTTTGATCACAAATTAATCTTGCTCTTAATCCAACTATTTCCATGTTCCATCTGACGAAGCGTGTTGCGGATAATAATATGTTTAAAAAAAGTGTTATTTTATTATTGCGAAAAATAAAGGTCAATTGAATTTTTTAATATATTGTAGATATTTCCATGTTTATCATTCATTCAGTTTTCGCTACTTAACAACAGATGGCGTTACTCGTACCGGCATAACTCTTTTCAGCATCCATTTTCATTTCTGTAGCTTACCATCTGTCCGACTTGAATCCTTTCCTGAGCGCTATTTGTCCCCGACATATCCTTTTTAGACGAGGGGTGAGGAGAGTCCTCAACGGCCAGGAGCTTTTTGATTTTAATCATGGTGTTGCTGATACCCACTGATTTGATTGACTGATTGACTGATTATTACATTATGACTGATTGTCAAGTTTTTTTTTATTGCCCTTGTAGGCAGATGAGCATACGGCCCACATGATGGTGAATGGTTACTGTCGCCCATGGACTTCAGCAATGCCAGGAGCAGAGCCAAGCCGCTGCCTACCGCTTAGTACTCTCCACAAGCCTCGTTTTATTAGGTCAAGTAAGCCAAATGTTGTAGTGACCTCTAAAGCAATGAAAATATAATAACTAGGCTTTATCATTCATATGATAATGTAGTGGTAATAGTGTGATAGTCAAAAATATGCGGATACAATTTTGGGGTTATTCGACGTGAGATTATAACGAAATTGAATTTTGGCGTGACAATGGAAATTAGACCTTCAATTGTGTTTCTTAAAGTTTACTTGGCTTACTTAGAAGGTACTTACAGTATATTCCAGCAAAAGTTCCGTAATATTGGCATCTTCTTCGGAATATGGAAAATACCAGAATGGTTGATTGGAGACGGATAGTTCACCTGGAAATATATGTAATTGTTCTAGATATAGATAAGATGTATTGTGACAAGATATCTTTTTGCGCACAGCTTCCATTTCTTGAACCACATTAAACCGAGAGTTTTTTTTTTTTATTGCCCTTGTAGGCAGACGAGCATACGGCCCACCTGATGGTAAGTGGTTACCGCCGCCCATGGACTTCAGCAATGCCAGGGGCAGAGCCAAGCCGCTGCCTACCGTTTATTACTCTCCACAAGCCTCGCTTGAAGAAGGACATGTCATAGCGCTCGGGAAACACCGTGGAGGGAAGGGAGCTCATTCCATAGCCGGATGGTACGTGATACGTTCTGGATTCAGAGTGGGATGAAAGATAACCTTTATTCTTTCTAAAGGTTCAAACTGTTTCTACAATGAACTTTGTCAAAATGGTAGTTCAGTAGCTTGGGCGTGAAAGCATACAACATAGTCGCATAGACAACATAGTCGCATAGCATGAATAATGCTAGGAGGGGTGGGATTTGCTAACAGCTGCCCGAGCACCTCCGAAGAAGACCTGACGATTCAAGAGCAGCTGCTTCGTGAATGAATCTACTAACGCTGAGAAGATCTGGCGAGAAATTTAGTGGGCTGATGCATGGATTAGCTTGCACGTCGAATTCTTTGTCGAGTTCGACGAGTACGGTTACCGGGGTCCCTAAGCTGGCTCTTAGTGTTATAGCTGAAGGCGTCTAATGCAAAGGTTGTTCAATCTGATGGATCCCTCAGGAGCCCCCTACCTATTCGCCGGTAGCCTAAGAGGCTATTGTAGTTATGCCCGAACAATTTACCAACACTAGCCCTAGTAAGAGCACTGCCTCTAGAAGCTACGACCGGATCGGAATCGCGATCTAGACAAGATCCGGCGATAAACTCAGCGGGCTAGTGCGCGAACAAATTGACAAAAGACTTACCGTTATACATATGCCGAAATTCAGCATCATAAATCCGGTACGCCTTAGCGTGCGCCAGTAAGGTATGCTTATTGCAAAGGAACACTCCTACTTCCGGGTCGATAACTCCTGGCGCGGTGAAGCCCATGCCGTACGCAGCTTCGCAGATTATAAACGGCTCGTTCACGGTAATCCAAGTCTTAACTCGATCTCCATAGAGCTTGAACGCGATCCGTGCGTATTCGGCGAACCAATCGCTCGAATAAGGATTAGCCCAACCTCCTGTACAAATATTTTTTAACGTCAGGTCTAATTTTTTTTATAGTCCCTGTAGGCAGACGAGCATACGGCCCACCTGATGGTGAATGGTTACCGTCGCTCATGGACTTCAACAATGCCAGGGGCAGAGCCAAGCCGCTGCCTACCGCCTAGAGGCCAATTGAGAAATAATAATCGTGACTATTGCCAAGATATGTTCAAAGTGGAAACTTCTTCAGCGCCATTTTGACTTAACAATGATGCGAAAGGAGACAAGCTTATGCATGTATGGGATTTGGAATAATTCTAAAATTTTAAGTTTTACAAAGGCTGACGCGTGTGAACTGATTTACGAAGCTTTTCGTTGTCGTGGCCTAAAAGATAAGGCGCCCGGTTCAATCGTATCAAGCGATGCATTAGAGTTCGAATCCCGCAGGCAGGTACCAATGTTTATAATGAAATATGTACTTAACAATTGCTCACGATTGACTCTCACGGTGAAGGAATAACATCGTGTAATAAAAATCAAACCCGCAAAATTATAATTTGCGTAATACTAGTGGTAGGACGTATTGTGAGTCCGCACGGGTAGGTACCACCACCCTGCCTACCTCTGCCGTGAAGCAGTAATGCGTTTCGGTTTGAAGGATGGGGCAGCCGTTGAACTTTAAAAACTGAGATCTAAGAACTTATGTCTCGAGGTGGGTGGCGGCATTTTCGTCGTAGATATCTATGGGTTCCGGTACCCACTTAATACCAGGTGGGCCGTGAGCTCGTCCATCCATCTAAGCAATAAAAAAAATATATATCGTTGAAGTGGTCCACTAGATGAGGTCAGAACAGCGATTTTTTCTCTTCTATCAGCTGTCATCTCAACACTCACTCCTCTCTCTCTCCTATCGTCATCTAGGTCTTCTTCGGTCGACCTCTTCCCCCTCTACCTTGCACTACCATTTCTATACATCTCCTAGTCACATGCATCTCCATTCTATGCATCACATGTCCATACCACGCTAAAAGTCCGCTCTTTATTTTGTCAATCATTGGGGCTACTTTCACACTTCCTCTGATATACTCATTCCTTATCTTGTCCATTCTTGTTACTCCACACCTCCATCTCAACATTCGCATCTGTACCGCGTGCAATCTTCTTTCTTTCTTTATTCTATTATTAATACAGTAATAAAAGTTTGCAATTCGTAGTGTTCTACCTAAAGGTAGGTATCATAAGTGTAATCCATAAAAAAACAAGAACCTAGAATATTTACCTAAATCCTGTAGCTTCTGCGGCATGTCTTGATGATACAGAGAGACAAAAGGCTTAATTCCTCTCTCCAGCAACCCATCTATGAGATTATTGTAATATTTCTTTCCATCTTCGCTGATGTAATTCGAGAATCCGTTCGGTAGGAGACGTGACCAGGAAATAGAGAACCTAAGAGATGAAAAGATAATTTTTAATCTTGCTAGATGACACAACCAGGATTATAAAAACAGGGTATTACTTTCTCTTGGAAGTCGTTTCGTGAAGGTGTCCCAATTACGTTTTTTTTTAAACTTTAGTTTGCAAGATTTGAACCATAGTCGTAGGCCAATACCCAATAATGGATGCATGTGGTCTGATGATGATTTTAATCTTATCACTGTACACACAGACGAGTCCGCTGGACATCTTATCCTATAAATTAAGGATGAGCAACACGCGACCCGCCAGGCATTTCTAAAACTGAATTTATTTTATGGACTTCCTAGACTCAACCTGTTTCCATTTGTTTTTCTGTTCTTTCCTTGTATATTTTTATCTTGCACTAAAATTTGTATAAGAAATCTTTACTTTTTTTTTATAGTTTTATATTTTTTCATTCTAATATTTTTTATAAATAAAGTTTCGTACATTATTAATAAGAGTTAATCTATGTACGGCCCGTCAAAATACATTTTTTTACTGGTGGTAGGACCTCTTGTGAGTCCGCTCGGGTAAGTATCACCACCCTGCCTATTTCTGCCGTGAAGCAGTAATGTGTTTCGGTTTGAAGGGTGGGGCAGCCGTTGTAACTATACTGAGACCTTAGAACTCATATCTCAACGTGGGTGACGACATTTACCCTATAGACGTCTACGGGCTCCAATAACCACTTCACCCTAGACGGGCTGTGAGCTCGTCCACCCATCTATGGAGAACAAAAATAAAACCTGTAAAAATGAAGACCCAATTCTGCTGCCATTTCAATGTCTCTCTCCCAGAGGTGATAGGAGTCGCAGGCCACATCGCCATTACTGCCGTCCAAGATTCTGTCCTTGTGTACTCGAGTGAAACGATCCCAAATGCCTTCAGCTTTGTCTGTTTAGGAAGAGATTTAGATTCTTTAGAAAATTACGATTCATTAACACTAGGAAAATCGCTTGACGAACGACTAAGAAAAAGGTTCAGTTTGCTTAGCGAGAGTTTTTGAAGTTATACTTCTTTAGGCGCGTTATGAAAAATTGATGAGAGTGAAATTTCACGATGCGCGCGCACCGTGACACAAAATTAACAGAATGAAGTTTCCCACTAAATCGCTCATTACAATACGACCGACGTAACTTGGCGAGTCTGAATATAGCCGCAGGTGAACTTTCGCGCGTGTACACTCGTAAAAAAAAGTGTTATTAGCATTCATTTTTTAGTAATATAAATGACAAAATTACTATTTAATATAATTCATACTAAATATTATTAAATTATTAATCTTAAATATTAATTATTAATTATTTAATATTTAAAAAAAAAGAAATAAAATTAATAAAAATAAAGTATAACTTCTTACGCGCGTACATAAGTAAGTACACGCACCTTTTTTTTAACGTTCTCGACAGCGTAAAAGTTAACTTAAATTTGTATGGAGTTGAATCTCCTACGTTTTCCGCTAGGGGCGCTGTTCCAACTGCATACAAATTTGAGTTAACTTTTACGCTATCGAGAACGTTAAAAAACTTGCACTAAGCACAAATATTGTGTTGCAAGCTAAAAACTAATATTACGCGCTGGGGTTCGGGATAAATAAAATTCTACCGAAGTACAAATTACAAACTATATTAGTACTTAGAACACTTAAAACACTCAACAAACACTTTAAAATTCTCAATTCACTTCTTCCGATTCGCTTCAGGTGATCCGTTCGCTGTTTCGCTTTGAGTAAGTCCGATTACTAACTCCCTGAGTGCCATCTCTGTAACGCTTTTATAGTCGAGACGAAATCCCTAGAATCGTCGAGAACATTTCTCACAAGTCGAGTACCTTCGACGTGTGTTTCCGCTATCTGACAATAGATGGCGTTGTACTCCTCGATATTCGTTCGGCTATTTGGCGATAGATGGCGTTACTCTTACCGCCGTAACACTAAGAATACGATGGACGTCATAGTTTCCGTAATTGCTACTACATACTTGCTGACCCGGCTCACATGATTACCTACCGACTAGTAATTACGTAAAATAATTACAATTGTTTTTTGCGATTTTGAATCTTATTACACGATGTTATTTATTTCATCATCGTGTTGGTTATTCGTGGATATACAAGTCCCATTATTATTTAATTACAATTACATTTTGGTATTTGCTTTAAAACATATATTTATACTTACTACTACATATTACTTACTATACTTATTACCTACATTATTTCCGACATTTCCAAAACTGTGTAAAAGTACTCTAGTAACTAAGTAACTAGCTAACCCGGCAGACTTCGTAGTGCCTCAATCGATAAATAAAAGACCTAAACTTATGTATAAAATAAACTTAAATAAACAAAAGGAATCCGTCCGACGGGGGACACATCAAAGGAAAAATAAAATTGTTATTTTTATTTCATTCCGAGCATTTTCAAATTTATCTGCCTTTTAAACTTTCTCTGGACCTCCACAAATAATTCAAGACCAAAATTAGCCAAATTGGTCCAGCCGTTCTCGAGTTTTAGTGATACTAACGAACAGCAATTCATTTATATATATATAGATATTGTTATTATTTTTAGCACAAAATGCGTAACAAATTGCGTAAACCTTATTGTTTGGTTTCGAAGTGTTTTGATAATCATAATTATAATGTATTCATACGCCGAGGCAATTATTCACGACAGCCTTTAATGATATTATTGAAATATTTTTTTGTAGCGTAATAAAAAATAAAAAAACTATAAAACTGGTCGTGAATAGTTTAATAGATCTTTTTTTTATTTTTTTTATTGCCTAGGTGTTTGGACGAGCTCACAGCCCACCTGGTGTTAAGTGGTTACTGGAACCCATAGACATCTACAATGTAAATGCGCCACACACCTTGAGATATAAGTTCTAAGGTCTCAGTATAGTTACAACGGCTGCCCCACCCTTCAAACCGAAACGCATTACTGCTTCACGGCAGAAATAGGCGGGGCGGTGGTACCTACCCGTGCGGACTCACAAGAGGTCCTACCACTAGTAAATTTTTATTTTTATCTATCTATCTCTTAGTTTTATGGCGTTTCCTTTTAGATTTCGCCAATGTCAAGTGTATTTAATACTCTGCTTTCTATAGCGGGCTTCGTGAACGAGCAAGGTCACAGATATTCACTATGAATTAAGTGAGTACGAACCTATTAACACAAAAAGACGCCATCAGTAACTACAATGTCTAGTCTATATATTAATACGTGAAGCAAAAACTTTGTATACCTTTTTACGAAAATTGCGCGCACGGAGGAGTATGAAATTTTCCACACTTATAGAGAATATAGAGAAGAAGTGCACAATGCTAATTTTTTTTTTAAATCTAATATATAAAATTCTCGTGTCACAGTTTTCGTTGCCATACTCCTCCGAAACGGCTCGACCGATTTTCGTGAATCTTAGCATGCATATCGGTCAGGGTTGAGAATCGAACAACATCTATTTTTCATCCCCCTAAATATTAAGGGTGGTCCACCCCTAAATTTGATTTGTTATTTTTTCAACAAAAATTTTTGTTTTTATTTTTTTATGATACAGCATACAAAAATACATACAGCCCTAAATTTTCATCCCTCTACGATTAACCCTTATTTTTTATTTGCTAATTAAAACTTTAAATTTTTTTGCGAGAATTTTGTTTTATTTTGTCATTACGTAGAATAAAAAAAATCATATTACTCTGAAATTTTCACCCCTCTACGATCAACCCCTATTTTTTATTTGTTAATTATAAACTTTAATTTTTAGATTTTCATTTTCATTTTTATTTTTATTTTGTCATGAATTAAAATAAAAAATCTGATGTTACTCTAAATTTTTCATCCCTCTATGATCAACCCCTATTTTTTATTTGTTAATTATAAACTTTAATTTTTTCGCAAGTTTTTTATTTTATTTTGTCACTAGCTGACCCAGCAAACGTTGTGTTGCCTTAAATAAGATATCTAGGGAAATTCTACTGTAGAAAAAAAAAACTCATTTAACCACATAATACCTCATTATAAATAAATAAAAAATATCCCAAAAATTAAAATAAAAAATAAATGTTTGGGGTGGACTACCCTTTTCACTTAGGGGTATAAAAAATAGATATTAGCCGATTCTCAGACCTACTGAACATACTATTGATACACAAATAAAACCAAAAAAATATGGCTGAAAAATGTATAGTATTGTATAGCTCTCAAATATATTAAGTGTATAATCTAAGATGTATAGTGAGTAAGTAAGACAGGAGACCGGCTTCGTCCTCATCCCTACTACGTGATGTTTGCTGGATGAGTGGTGACACCTGGCGGGGATAGCTGATCGATTGATAGTTGATCAATAGTCGGCCGGCGAGGCCGGGAGATCAAATTCAATTTAAAAAAAATCTTAATTAAAGGAACTTGAAATTATAAATTCTGAATTAGAATTTATCGTACTACAATTATAATATTTGATTGCCATCTTGCAACCTTATTGCGGATCTGTGCATAAAAAAAAAAAAAATCGGATGGAAAAATAGGGGTTGATCGTATAAGAGTGAAAATTGAGAGTAATATGATTTTTTTTATTTTAAGTCATGACAAAATAAAATAAAAAACTTGCGAAAAAATTAAAGTTTATAATTAACAAATAAAAAATAGGGGTTGATCGTAGAGGGGTGAAAATTTAGGGCTGTATGTATTTTTGTATGCTGTATCTTCTTAAGGCTGTGTTATAAAAAAATAAAAACAAAAATTTTTCTCTAAAAAATAACAAATCAAATTTAGGGGTGGACCACCCTTAACATTTAGGGGGATGAAAAATAGATGTTGTTCGATTCTCAATTCTGACCGATATGCATGCTAAGATTCACGAAAATCGGTCGAGCCGTTTCGGAGGAGTATGGGAACGAACATTGTGACACGAGAATTTTATATTTTAGATAATGAGGTATTATGTGGTTAAATGAGGGTTTTTTTTCTACAGTAGAATTTCCCTACATATCTTATTTAAGGCAACACAACGTTTGCTGGGTCAGCTAGTAATGCATAAAATATACATTAAATCAATAAAGAAAACATTACACACACTACATACCATGTATTTGACGCACACACGCATGCATACTATTTATTGTCAAACTTTTGTTCTTGACGTATGTTGTCAAATTGAGAATAGATTGAATATTGTTTGTCTCTATTAATATTTTTTATAGTATAGTCTTGGCGAAATTTGTATAAAATACAATCATAATAGTGTACAAACTTACAATTCCAATTAATTATAGTCGATTTTTTCGACTACTGCCAGACCTCTAGTAAACTTAAATTGACGACCGATATTCTATGTAAACAATTTCTTTAAACAACTCTTCATTAAAATTCCACCAACACAATACTACAGAAAGACTACAAGACTAAGTAAATATTACTGTATAAACAAGCAAATACGGATCGACAATTGGAATACTTATACGTAATATAACACGTACATAGGTACATGATATTACCATAAAAATTGTTACAAGGAAAACAGCATTGTTTGCTATAAGATGAGATAATATTTATTAACGCGGTGTGCGCTATTTCATACAACAAGCATTTAAAACAATGAGCTTATAAACTCATTGCTTTTAATAAAATCAATATAACGCTTTCTCTTTTCTTTTTCCTGGATAAATTGGCTTTTATTTGCGTACTGGTTGTAGGACCTCTTGTGAGTCCGCGCGGGTAGGTACCACCGCCCTGCCTATTTCTGCCGTGAAGCAGTAATGCGTTTCGGTTTGAGAGGTGGGGCAGCCGTTGTAACTATACTGAGATCTTAGAACTTATATCTCAAGGTGGGTGGCGCATTTACGTTGTAGATGTCCATGGGCTCCAGTAACCACTTAACACCAGGTGGGCTGTGAGCTCGTCCACCCATCTAAGCAATAAGCAAAAAAAAAAAGAAACATGTTTTCAAAGTTTATAATGATTGGCTCAGTGTTTTAAAAATATATCTTGAAAACAAATTTAGTTCAGCTATCACAATTATATAGTCGTGTTTTTGCACGCAAGTGTACGTACGAATCAATTTATAATGAATTAGTAAATCATAATAATTTATATCGTTTTCTTATTTTTCATTGAAGCCGCCATAGATATGAGTCGACTATTATCAAAGCCGGCAATCTGACTTTTGGATAATTATTGGTAAATCAGAAAAACGAATTATTGACTTTGTATTCCATTGGCAGTCACAAAACTCTTCGGAACGACATCTTAGATAAATAACAGGTTAAGTATGAACCTTTATTTAATGCAGGTTTTGAACCGTATTCTTTGAAGGAGACGATTATATTCAAATCAATCTGTATTGACATATCAATAACATTTTTTTGTCCAAATGCACAGATTGCCACCTTTGATAATAGACGACTCATATAACCCAAAAAGGGTTGATGTTAAACTCATGTTGAAGTCGTATGTAACATGATATATTATGTGTATAATCTATGATGATAATAGAACATACTGCGCACAAGAAGAATTTTCANCAAAAAAAAAAAAAAAAAAAATAATAATTTATGTCGTTTTCTTATTATTCATTGAAGCCGCCATAGATATAATCTAAACCAATATTGACCAATAAATAAATAAATAAATATTTACTAACAATTACGCCACGTTAACTGGTCCCGTGATAAGTTCGTAAAGAACTTGTGTTACAGGTACCAGATAACGGAAATAAATGTAAGATTTGTATTATACACATACATATATTTAATATACATCCATAACCCCGGAAAAGACATTTATATTTATCATACAAATATCTTCCCTTGGCGGGATTCGAACCCGCGACCCCCTTGTGTAGTGACCATCTCACTTACCACTACACCAGACAGCGTGTCGTTTTCTAAATAACTTTATCATAATCTTTAAATCAATAGAAGATGACGTGTGATGTTTATAATTTTCGGGCAATTAAACATGAAAGTTAAATGATAAGCTATTAAGCCTGGCAATTCCAAAAGAGATTCTCAAAAGATTACATAACATAATATGTCGTTAATGTGTTTTACACGGCACATAATATCATTATCCTGTCCTTCTCCCAGTCACCTGGGGTCGGCGCAACATGTTTTCTCTTTCCATACTCTTCTATCATATACCATTTCTTCGCTCACTCCCCTCCTACCCATATCGTCTTTCACACAATCCATCCATTTCTTCTATCCACCTCTTCCTCTAAATCCTTCCACATTCATAGTTAACACTCTCTTAACAACCTAATTTTCATTTCGTCTCATCACATGTCCATACCACGGCACATAATAATGATAAAAAAATAATTAACGCGCCGGCCGATGCTCCCTTGTGATGCACATGAAAAAGCATTTCTGAACCGCCTTTACTTAACGAGCTCATGGATTATTAATTCACTAAAACTGATCTTAGTAAAACGATGATAAATTTTAATTTAGATCTATAGTAAATAGTAACAAACTGTAAGTAATATAAGAATAACAAGCAACGCCATCTGGTAGCGTGGACACGAACGATCGAGATCTTTCTGGAAATGGCGCTCGATATCGAGCGAGGAACATTCTGGAAGGTTGAACGGGTGCAAGATGGTCCAGATACAGAGTATTTAAACGCGATCGTGAGCACCAACACCAAAACAGAACTCAAAAGTACGAAATGATAGTATACATCATCATCATCAGCCTTTATTTGCCCACTGCTGAACATAGGCGTTCCCCAATGTCTTCCACAGAATGCGGTCCTCCGCCTTCCGCATCCAACGACTTAGTGCGCACGGTTGGAGGACGCCCCACGCTCCTGGTACCCATCCGTGGTCTCCGTTCGAGGACTTTCCTCCCCCAGCTGGCATCGCTGGCTCGACAGATGTGGTCGGCCCGTTGCCACTTCAGCCTGCTAACTTTGAGAGCGTCGACTTTGGTTCTCCATCGAATTTCTTCGTTCCGGATTTTATCCCTTAGAGAAATACCGAGCATAGCTCTCTCCATTGACCATGTGCGACCCTTAACTTATAGGCCAGCCCCGCCGTCAGTGTCCAGGTTTTCTCGCCGTAGGTCATCGCGCATGATAGTATACGAAGTGAACATACTCGTGGTGGGGGGTCTTGTGAGCCTGGTTATTCCTGCTTATATCTGTCGTGAAGCAACAACGCGTTTCGGTTTAAAGGATGGAGCAGCCGCTGTACTGTAAAGCTGAGATTTAGAACTCATGTCTCAATGGATTTTGGTAACCACTTAACACTAAACAACAAAAAAAAGAAGAAAAGATTATAGTGGAACTTTCTTTATTGCTCTTGTAGGCCAACGGCCCAACTGATGGTGAATGGTTACCGTCGCCCATGGACGTCAGCAATGCCAGGAGCAGAGCCAAGCCGCTGCCTACCGTTGAGTACTCTCCACAAGCCTCGTTTGAAGAAGGACATGTCATAGCGCTCGGGAAACACCTACCAGTACTTGTGACTGCTTGTGAGCATTTGATATATACTAATAATTTCTTTTTTTCTTAAATGAGTGTACGAGCTCACAGCCCACCTGATGCTCAGTGGTTACTGGAGCCCATAGACATCTACGACGTAAATACGCCACCCACCTTGAGACATAAGTTCTAAGGTCTCAGGTATAGTTACAACGGCTACCCCACCTTTCAAACCGAAACGCATTACTGCTTCACGGCAGAAATAAGCAGGGTGGTGGTACCTACCCGCGCGGACTCTCAAGGGGTCCTACCACCAGGAACGACATTCAATGAAGTACTATGAGAAACCTCCTCACAATAGCCGCCGTATCGAGGATAACTGCTTTCTGTATTCTTTATTTTATAGTATTCTTTCTTATTATTACTATTGAGTTTTCTAGTATTTTTCCGCCCTTCCCATCCCGTTCTCAAAATACTCCCATTTATCTTTATCTGTTCTTAATCAATAGGTGTACACACAATATTCTTGTTTGTTACGGGTTTTATTGATCTAATCCTACACATATCTAATCTATTTATCTAATTCTACCTCCCATATAATATATGTAAGATGCTTAGATAAATAAAGCCGAAACGAACAAGAATATTGTGTGCACCTATTATAGTATATTTATTGACTAGCTGACCCGGCAGACTTCGTAGTGCCTCAATCGATAAACAAAAGACCTAAGCTTTTGTATAATATAAACTTATAATAATTAAAAGGAATCGGTCCGACGGACACATCAACAGAAAAACAAAATTGTTATTTTTAATTAATTCCGAGCATTTTTTTATATATTATCTACATATTTAACTACCTTTTAAACCTTCTCTGGGCTTTCACAAATAATACAAGACCAAAATCAGCCAAATCGGTCCAGCCGTTCTCGAGTTTTAGCGAGACTAACGAACAGCAATACATTTTTATTATATATAGATATAACATAGATTAGGCGGTCATGCGCGGATAAAAACCTTACCAGGAAACGTTCCGGCCCTCCGAACATTTATGTATTCTATATATTTTACCTGATACATTCCAAGCGCCTTCGATCTGGTAGGACGAGGACGCAGCCCCAAACATGAAGTCAGGCGGAAAATGCAAATCCTTTAGACATAGTCCTTTAATCACGAACCTGTACAGAAAACAATCTCAATTCAGGGCACGATTTGAATTTGACAACCAGAGTATACAATTTCACCCTTCAAACCAAAGGCACGGCTGCTTCCTGGCAGAAATAGGCAGGATGATCCAATTCCCCGTACCACTAATTAGACAACGAATCAGACTGGTGTTTTCCGAGCGCTATGACAAATGTCCTTCTTCAAACGGGGCTTGCGGAGAGTAAATGGTAGGCAGCGGCTTGGCTCTGCCCCTGGCATTGCTGACGTCCATGAGCGATGGTGACCACTTACCATCAGGTGGGCCGTATGTTCATCTGCCTACAAAGGCAATAAACAAAATAAAAAAAAGACTATACAATTCAATCCTTCAAGCCAAAACGCATGGCTGCTTCGAGGCTAAAATAGGCAGGATGGTGGAAACCGGTCTATTGATACACAGACAACGAATTAGACTATACAATCCATCACTTCAAACCAAAACACATGGCTATTATGCGGCAGAAATAGGCAGGATGGTTCAATCACCCATACCACTAATTAGACAACGAATTAGAATATACAAACCAATCCTTCCAGCCAAAACGCATGGCTGCTATGCGGCAGAAATAGGCAGGGTGATGGTGAAAGACCTCGGCCCTTCTCTTCTCCCCTTCTTCCTCTCAGGAGGTGCCAAAGTCCGACATAACCCGGTCCATTTTCCCCCTCGACCGGGTATCCGTAAATGGATTCCCCAGCGATAAAAAAAAGGGTGGTGCAAACCGGTCTACCGCTACACAGACAACAAATTAGACTATATCATCCATCACTTCAAACCAAAACACATGGTTGCTATGCGGCAGAAATAGACAGGATGATCCAATCCGCTCCACCACTGCTTAGACAAGGAATCAGACTATACAAAAATGTGGTTACCATCTGATGATCGACCTGCTGCATGCTAATTTTTAAAGTACGATTTTTTTTTTTGAATTAGTTAAATAAACTCACCCCAACACAACCACGGTTAGAGACAGCATCGTTGCGAATAACAAACTAGCCAAGCCGAAGAAAATAAACTCGTAAAATAATTCATAATGTCAACATAGATAGCATTTTGTAACGCGGCGTCGCTCTTTTTTTTGTTTTCCTTACGTATTCACTGATAGCCATATTTATCTAATCGTACATCTTAAGAGCCGGATTGGAATTGCAACCTATTGAGAAGATCGCTCTTAGTAATATACTCAATGACTTACATATTGTTTGGAGCCTCTGGGTCTGCGGAGGGACTTCGGTTCCCTCTGTATTTTGTACCGTATGTTCCATGGGGAGTGCTCTGAGGAATTGTTCGAGATGATACCAGCATCTCGTTTTTACCATCGCACCGCCCGCTACCGGAGTAGAGTTCATCCATACTACCTGGAGCCACTGCGGTCATCCACAGTGCGTTTCCAGAGATCTTTTTTGCCACGTACCATCCGGCTATGGAATGAGCTCCCCTCCACGGTGTTTCCTGAGCGCTATGACATGTCCTTCTTCAAACGAGGTTTATGGAGAGTATTAAGCGGTAGGCAGCGGCTTGGCTCTGCCCCTGGCATTGCTGAAGTCCATGGGCGACGGTAACCACTCACCATCAGGTGGGCCGTATGCCCGTCTGCCTACAAAGGCAATAAAAATAAAAAAAAAACTTCTTATTGTACTACGTTACGCACGTAAATCTCAAAATAAATCATCCAACCAAAGCATTTACTAGTATTGTCTTTCTTTATGTTGTTCACGTTGGAAACTGTGTTTTGGTTCGTAGATTTAACACTGGGTGACGTGGTGTATATCTGCTCGAACAATCACCACTATCCTACTTCTGCCACACCTCAGCCATATGCTTTGAACAGTTTTATGGACCTAAGTAAGTTTAAGGACGTGTCTATGGCGTCGACGGTGACTGGCTCCTGCGTGAGCAGAAATCGCGGCGGCAACAATATGGCGATTATCATGACGGCTTATGGAAGTACCGTTCCGACGCTGACTTCATGTATTTCCGGATTGATTCGAGGCCCAGGCCGTCATGTAAATCAACATTCCTCACGAAGCTCCGACGGCTGAACAGCAAAAACGGGATTGTAGGGATTGGAGGGTGTCTATATGTGTGCGGGCCGCGTGAGCGAACACCATATTAGCGTATATCAGTGATTATCAAACTTATTTCTTTTACCGCCCCCTTTGATAATCAATTATTTTTCAGCGCCCCCCATTTTTTATACACCCCTAAAACTTTAAAACCACAATTTCATTAATTTAGTTAATAAATGTTGTATTAATTTTAGTAAATGTAGTACGCGTAGTACATAATAATATGTATTTGTAGATGCTATTATTGTTTCTTTATATATAGGTACGTACATTGCTACAGGGTGTGTATTTACAAATTTACAAAATAAAAATGAATTCATCTCGTCAATAGGTTTGTGTAAATTCAGAATTACCAAAATACATTGCTATTTTACTGTACTATTATTGTACGAATGAAACTATTTTTGTTGAATATCTTTCTCATTAATATAAGATAAGATTCTCATCATAAGGTAATTAAAATTTTATATTTCGACTAGTAAATAATACTAAGAATAATAAGTTATTTAACTACGGAAAATAAATTAATATCATTTCGTATTATAGATTGATATAGGTAATTTTTCACAGAATTTTAGTTTATAATTTAGAACTGGTTAAAATAAAACCGCCACCTAAGCCAGCGTTTTGTTATTTGTAACATTTCATATTTATAATAATACTAGCTGACCCGGCACACTTCGTTGTGCCTCAATCGATAAATAAAAGACAAAAGGAATCCGTCCGATGGGGGACGCATCAAAAGACAAACAAAATTGCTATTTTATTTAATTCCGAGAATTTTCATATTTATTTACATTTTAAACCTTCCCTGGACTTCCAAAAATCATTCAAGACTAAAATTAGCCAAATCGGTCCAGCCGTTCTCGAGTTTTAGCGAGACTAACGAATAGCAATTCATTTTTATATTTATAATAATATATATGACGGAGGAGAAACGCTGAAGGAATGTTTTTAAAAAGTGTGACGTCAGCATTGTTGACGTCACGGTCATTAAGTTCTCGATGATGACTCATGTTTGGGCTTCCAAAATAAAACTTCACGAGAACTGCGTATATTGCACGAGAAGCATAAAAACGTTACAGAGAGATCCGTACTGTACTACGGCTCGGACACGAATGAATAAACGCTAGACAGCACGGCCGTATTTATAGGACTTCGTACACGTCAGCGTGTTTACAAGTATTAAACACGTGNATGAATAAACGCTAGACAGCACGGCCGTATTTATAGGACTTCGTACACGTCAGCGTGTTTACAAGTATTAAACACGTGAGCGTGTTTACAAGATTTTAAAGTATTGAAATTACAATAAAAGGGACTGTTTAACATCAATTTCTTATCACAGAGTAATTAGTTGATGATCAGTAGGTAAATAGTCATATTTGCGCCGACATATATATAGAAATAGTAAACGATGTTTACAATAAGTGAACTGTTTAGGCTTACTGTACTACTGTAATATTGGACGGTAATAGGTTAATTGTAAAAAAAATATTCTAACATAACTTTTTGAACAATAATTATATACGTATTTTCATTTTATAAAAAAATTATGATTCTTACATCAATAATTTCTTATAAAATGCTAGGAAAATGCTGTAAAATGCCCTTATGTTAAAAACAAGAAAGAAAGTAAAGAAAACTTCAATTTATGTTAGTTTACGTATGTATAATATTTTAAAACTGCATGGTAGTTTTTTTCCTAATGTTTAAAATAATTTCTGGTGCAATATAATTAAGGTAAAAATGCTCTAATTTTTTAACTATCATTGATCATGTTTCTTTATCCGCAGAAACTTGTTACAATGTGATTGCGTACGGTTTGCGGGCTATCCTACGAAATCTATGTTTTAAGTTTTTATAACATCATACAGGGTAGAAATATAAACTAACTAGCGACCCGCCCTCGCTACGCTTCGGAAACATTAAATTTTATTATTGATAGGCGATTCCCGCCATGTTGCGCGCGGTACGACGATAACTGCGGGTTACGCCGCGGGACGAAGCTAGTCTAATAAAAGGTTACGGTTAAGGCTAAGGCTAGGTCTAAGTTACTCATATCATCAGCTACCTATTAGTGAAAGTTTCATCAAAATCGGTCCAGCCGTTCCAGAGATTAGCCGGAACAAACAGACAGACAGTTTTTTTTTTTTTTGGTCAATAGGAAATCGCGGGACTTCCGCCCTCCACTGGGGATGGAGGGTGGGGCATGTCAAAGTCGAACTGACTAAAACCTCCTGTCGCTCAACAACCAACGTCCAAACCTCGCATGAGACAGAACTCATGAAAAGGCAAAGGGGGGAAAGTGAAGCGTTTAGTGCGGAGCACATCTCTCCCATCCTCCTCCCCCTCGGCACGCCGGACCGGCGGTCGTCGGCGCCACGACCACCAGCCCTCTCGGCCGGCAGGCTATCCGAAGCCCGCCTAGATGGCGCCGGTTAGAGTGAACTATCCTACGGAATACCCCGCTGGACCAGAACCAGCGTAGGTCGGAGATAACCGGCCTTCCATCACCTGGATGCTCTTGCGTAAAACGCGTGCAGAGCAGCTTGCACGTCGTCTCCTTAGGCCCCCTCGCCGGTCCCCAGACCGACATGTGAGGGGGACCCGAAACACTTACGAGGGCCAGGGCTTGGGCGAGATCCGCCTCCCTGGCCCCCGCTCGACGGCGGCGGGATTGTGGATCTCTCATGCGCCCCGCCGCCTTCTGCGAGATAGTGCACTCGCAGAAGTCGAGCATCACCTTCCACGACTCGTCGTCGCCGAGCATTGATGCCACAACACTCGGCAACGACAAGTGTTTTCCTATTTTTGCGACGAGGACACGGCGCCACCCCTCCCATGCGGGGCAGGCAACAAGCGTGTGCTCCGCCGTGTCCAAGTCGCAACCACAATGGTGGCACTCTGCCGTCGGCTCGGCTCCGATCCGGTGCAGGAACTCACCGAAGTAACCATGTCCAGTGAGCACCTGCGTGAGCCGGAAAGTGAGGCGTCCTCGGTCACGATTCACACAATCCACAAGGACCGGGCGAATCGCCTCGACGGTCCTACGACCAGCCGAAGGATCAGCCGGTCGTCTGGACCATGCCTCCAGCACGGACCGCCGAGATTGGGCCCTCCGCGCTCTGACCACACTGGGGCTAGGACGCGCCACACCCCGGACACGAAGGTCAGCCCGACACTGATAGTCAGCGGTGAGCGCCTCCGTTTCCAGGACCCAAGGCGGCGTCCCAGCCAGTACACACGCCGCCTCAAAGGAGATGGTGTGATAACCACGGATGACCCTGACCACGGTGGTGCGTTGCGGCCGTTGCAGCAGCTTCGCCACCCCCACGCTCAGGTTCTGAAAGTGAGCACAGATGGTCCAACAACTGTCCAGAATGAGGCCGAGGTACTTCAACTGCACCCCGACCCCGATACGGACGCCTCCAATCACGATATGGGCACCGACAGGTGGCACTCTCCGAGGCCTGTGGAACCACATGGCCTCGGATTTACTGAGCACCACCTCAGCGGTAGCAAGACGGGCAGACTCAGCAAAACTCCCCTCCGGGCCACGATCAACGTGTCGTCTGCGTAACAGATTACGCTCAGGCCCGGAGGAGGGCACCCCTCAGCACCCAGTCATAACCAATATTACACAAAAGGGGGCCGAGCACCGACCCCTGTGGAACACCGCGCACGACCGGGAACCAGTGCAGAATCCCACCGTGTCCGGTACACGTGACCGATCTGTCCTCCAAGTAGGAACCCACCAGCCGGCGAAGGTAGGGGGGCACTCAATGTCGTTCCAGTGCCCCCCCCCTATCACGGACCAGAGCAGGGTGTTAAATGCATTGGCGATATCGAGCGAAGACAGACAGATAGACAAAAATTGTAAAAAATGTTATTTTCGTGTATGTACCGTATATATATTCATGTGCATGTAGTAAA